ATTGGCCCCCATAAACTACTTACTACTTGGGAGTGGGCACAATTAGGAGTTGTGGCTTTGTTGAGTAGGTGTGCCCTTGTTGGTGGAAGGGTATCACCCACCTGCCTCTGCCTCCCGGGTGCTGAGATTAAAGGTGTGTACCATCCGATATTCTAAACATTCACTTTGTGTGCTCATGATATGCCCACTGTCTCAGTTCACTTCCTGTTGGCCTGCATTCAAGATGGAAAACTCTCAGTTCCTCCAGCACCATGTCTACCTACATGCGGCCATGTGGTCCCACCATGATGATAATGGACTGAACCTCTGAACTATAACCAAGCCCCAATTAAATGTTTTTCTTTGTAAGGGTTGCTGTGGTCATAGCTCTCTTCATAGCAATAGAAACCCTATTTGGACTGAGATCCACATTTACCTATTTATTCACTCTTAAGAGTTCTAATTGTTACCTTCCTATTATTTTAACTGATGCTGTGATGCAGCTGTGTCATGGTCTCTGGTTTCCCAGTGCTTTTTAAATGCCCCCAGGAGATTCAACAATCCATGTCTTAGGAGTCTAGCCTCCTCCACAGAAATATAAGTATATAACCTATCATTTGCCATTCACTCCCACTGACTGAAGTGAGACTTCAGTGGGGAGCAAACAGCATGAAATGTGTTCCACACCCATTTTCATGCTGGTGTCAGGAGCCCAGTGTTCAGGAGCAGCAGCTAGGTCTTCACTGTTGTGTGTCTGTTCTGGAGACTGTTTCTATTGTAATTCTCAAGACATATTTTTTCTAGCTCTCAGAGTTTGTGAACTATCTGAGTTGTTTTATTTTTCAAGACAGTGTTTCTCTGTATAGTCCTGGAAGTCACTTTGTAGACCAAGGTGACCTTGACTCAAGAGACCCATCTGCCTCTGCCTCCCGGGTGCTGAAATTAAAGGTGTGCACCATCTGATATTCTGAACATTCACCTGTGTGCTGGATCATTTTATGTCAGGCGGACACAAGTTGTGAAGTTATCTGAGAAGAGGGAACCTCAACTGAGAAAATGCCTCCGTAAGATGGGGCTATAGGTAACCCTGTAGGACATTTTCTTAATCAGTGATTGAGGGGGTTGGGTCTAGCCCGTTATGGCTGGGGCCATCCCTGGGCTGACGGTCCTAGGTTCTACAAGGTGTGTTGAGCAAGCCAATAAACAGTATTCTTCATAGCCTTTGCATCAGCTTGTCTCCAGGCTCTTGTCCTGCTTGAATTCCTGCTCCCATGCCTTTGGATGATATACCATAATATAGACCTATTAAGTGAAGTGAACCCTTTCCTCTCCAAGTTGCTTTTGGTTATGATGTTTCATTGCAGCAATAGTCACCCTAACTAAAGACAGCTTGTCATTCAGAGGACTTAAAAAAAAAAGTTTAAAGAATCAAAATGATGAAAGTACTTTAGACAAACGGAATGTTATTTCCTTCCAAGGGCTGCGAGTATTGCTTCCCTCTCTGTGGTAGTCTTATGTACTGGTGGATATCTGACATCATTTCTTTTGGTGGTGACACCTTCCTTTCTTCCCTGTATTTTTAAATGAAGCAGTCTGGCTAGGAGTGTGGGTCACTGGTAGCAGCACTTGCCTTGCACACTTGGTTCTCCACCACTACCAAAAATCAAGTACCATGTGTTTAAATGTGGCTTTGTTGGCTTCCAGTCACTCTGGGAACTGGGGTTGGTTCACAAAAGCCAAGTCAGGAAACCAGAAGCAGGGATAACTACAGTGGCTACTGATTGTAGCTTCCATTGCATGCCTCTTTTCCTGAATCTGTTCCCTTCTTTCTTCTCTGGCTTGTTACACTGTCTTAATCCAGTTATAGCAGTCAGCATTTAGTCTGCAGATACTCATTTACAGTTCTCACCAGCCAAAATATATGTGGTGTATGTGCACATAAGTGGTCAGGCCTGTGCACACAGGAGGCCAGAGGCAGAGCTCAGTGTCCTACCCTATCACTCTTTGCATTATTCCCATTAGGAGCCGAGTCCTTCATTGAACATGGAGGTAGGCTGGTGGGCGGCAGGTATCCCAGGCTGGCCTCCACCCCTAACTAGAGATGACCTTGAACCATCCTACTCCCACTATCCCAAAATGCTAGGGTTATAAGTGTGTGTCACACCAGGCCAGAGCAGTTGTGACTTGCATCTCTAATTGACCAGCCTAGTGAATTTAGTTTTTAATCTAAGCCAGGCCATAGGTCTTCAGGGGGAAGACTGGGTACACAGTTCAGTGGTTCATCAGAGTGATAAAGTGTTCAGGTCCCAAAAGAATGTGTAAATGGGCACATACTGCTAGTGTTTCTTTCAACAGACCCATCCTTTCTTATTAGCGTTGCTTATATTCAATGGCAACCTTCACTAGTATACATTAAGTATTTTTAATTAAAAATAACAATCAGGTAAGTTCAAGAAAACAAGTGAACAGAAATAGAGAAAAATTATCCTGAATATCAGAGGAAAGAAAGTATATTTAGCACCAAGAACAGTATTACACATATAGAACATACAGTTTAAAAGATGCATCAGTGGCCTAACAAAAAGCAGAATGTATTTTTATAGACCAGAGTTAGGAAAACAGGAGGGAAATGACCTGGGTTTACAGAAGTCACAGTTCATAGATTTCCACATTACAAAGTAGTTTTCTAAGATCAGCATGTGAGGGAAATAGGCTTACTAGAAAGTGAGAAAGAATATGTACTCTACTCTTGAAAAGTAGTTGGTAGATTTTAATTATCTGACCATGCAAACCTGTCTTAGCTTTGGGCAATTCAATCTTTGCATTTCTGGTACTGTATTCTCTTTCTCAGCTGCAAAGAAACCCTGGCAACTGCCTCCCATTTTCATCAACAAACTCACTTTCAATTTACTTTGTGCTAACATGATTCCCATTTTACACAATAGAGAAAATTCTGACTACACTTACAGTGCTGGTTGGTACTCACAGAGCCTCTCTTTTATTTCATTATTTACCTTGTTAGTGCCCTGATAATCTATAAACTTTATCATCAATTGCTTCTACTGTGTGCTAACAAACTGATCACCTATACCCTCATCTTGAATTTCCATTTTCAGTCTTACTGCATATCCAAATTACCTAATGTTAAGGCTCATTCAAAGGGGCACATGGTGATCCTCAGGTGCAGTTTACATGCTGAGAGCTGCATGTTAGTCTGGTGAATTTACTCCGTACTTTGAGTTGACATGGGCTATTAAGTTGGACAACTCAGTACTCAAGTCTTTGATGCCAAGGAGAGTTTACTCAGCAGACTACAGGTCCAGTTGTTTACGTGTTAAGAGCTGTCCTATGGCTGCTAAGGACAGTAACTCTCCAAGTATGGTCCCCATACCATAAATCCAAGTATCATCCTCAAACTCATTAGAGATGCAAATTCTTATGGCCATCTATAATTAACTCTATCGAACTGGGGGTGTGTGGCCAGCTGTGATTTAATACATACTTCTGGTAATCCAAACATCTGTCTGAAAACTGTTACCTTGGGTTTTCTTTGCTGTAGTCCAAAGCTAAATAGGTTCCTGTCTTTTCAACAGCATGCTAACTAGTAACTAATCCTCAACACTGGGCTTAGTGTGCTCTTAAAAAAAAAAAAAAAAAAAAAGAAGCTGGAGGACTCGGCTCACTACCAGTTGAGACATTACCCAGTGCACTTCTCAAAGCAGAACTGTGGCAAGTCTCTTTACTTTCACAGATACCACCTCTAGCCAGAGGGTTTCATCCAACAAGTGCATCTTCAAGGGACAACATAGACAGACCTTTCCTAGTAGGGCTGCCCATGGGGATTTTAGTCTCCAACAGGTGGAATGAACTCTTCTGTTACTTCCAACGTTGATTGCTTTTAAAAGCCATGTACTAAAACCAATTTATTCTAACTAATATATCTTTCCACAGAAATACTTGAAGTGGCTTGTAAAATTTGGCGTGCAGTGATTCTAATGGAAAATTAGGAACGAAAGAAAAACAAGTATGACCTATATTCCCATCTCCCTATGGCAGTCTTGGAGAACATGTTGGAATATTGTTCAAAAAAAAAAAAAAAAAAAAAAAAAGAAACAAAACCCAGATAAAGTTTGATGACAACTAAACTCTTGGCTAATTAAGTGTATCAGTGTATTCTCATTCATGACGGATTCTCTCTGCCATATGGGAAATGGGCACTTAAAAGATCCCACCACTATTAAAAATAAAGTTGTCCTTAGCAGGTAGGAATTAAAAACAAAACCTTTTGACTTTCTATTTATGAATTATGGCACATGTGTGGAAGTTAGAGGGCAGCTTCCACTTTTACTTGGCGTCTAGGGACGGACCTCAGGTCACCAGGCTTTACTTGCAGAGTCATCTTGTTAGCTCTAAATATTCCTTTGACTAGCTTATATTTGTGTGCGCGCACACGAAGATGTGCCATGGCAGGTGCGTGGAGGTCAGAGGGTAACTTTAGGGCGTTGGTTCTTTTCTTTTACCATGTGGGTCCTGTAAATTGAACTGGGTCTTCAGGCTTGGTGGCAGTCACCTTTACCCATGGAGCCATGTCACTGGCCCGCTTTTGAATTATCTCTCTTAAAAAATCATAACTGCATTAAATTTACCTCTGACATTTCATTGACTTGTATTTTTTGAGTACAAGAAAATACTGATTATACCTGGCTGCAAAGATCTGTTTTAACATATAGTGTGGTAACAGGCATTGATTTCAGACCCAGTATCAACATGGAGAAGAAGATGGGGTTAAGACAGTGCTTGCACTGTGAACCCGGAAAGACACAACTGGTACCTGTCAAGAATCAATGTTTCAAGTATGAATCCTATTAAGGAAAAGGAGATATTCTATGTGGGCCTATATGTCCAGTGCCTAGTCTTGTGCTATTACAGGCATTTGTTTTAATCCAAAGGAGTAAGAAAAAAAAGTGGAAAAATACCAAACATTGAGGTGCTAATTACATAAAAATAAATTTTAGGAATGGTTAAGTGTCAACAATCTTCTTCAATTGTCTTTATTACAGTAAGAGGAAATTTTACTCTTAATGCATAGAATCTGAAGAAAAACATTTACATTTAGCTTTTAAAAGAGGCCCTTTTGACAATTATTAATACAAATGTGAAATAAGAACCTTCAAACAAATACCAATTTCAGTAATAGTTTACATACAGCAATAATTTATTCTGAAATGTTCATTTAGTTTGAGACACAATTCATGTCTCATTAATAAAAGAGCAGCCATTTCACCTCAAATACCAGAATATACAACAGTTACAGCATAGCAAAAATTCTACCTACTTTTGATAAAATCTAGTTCAGTTAAAATAGTTTCATTCAATGTTTTACAGTTACACAGATCTGAGCACAAAATAGTGTGAATTGTTACACCATAGCTATCCTATGCACACCATGTGACCACAGAATCATTAATCATTACTTCTGAAATTGAACCATCAGTTTCATTCATGCAGTAAAGCAAAGCAGGCTGGGTAAACATATTCATTGGGAACCATATTACTGTGAATTTCACAGCCACATGATTAATTATGACATTAGATGGATTCACAAGGACTATTTTTGCATAAATACCAATTTCTCCCTGATGTAAGTTTATTTTATAATCTAGAAATGATTGATAACAGCAATATATCATATAGTTTCTATCTGTAGTGTTGTTTTAAGACAAGCGATAATTAAAGGACAATGGGATGGATGCTACTTAAATACATGTAAAACATTCTGTACAAATATACTTGGCTTTACCTTTTTCCCCCGACCTAACAAGAGTGCCTCCCAAAATGACCAGTGAGGGCCAAGTGGACTATCAAACATGGTTTCCAGAACAAAACCTCTAACAACAATCAAACCTATTTACAGAAAGTTCCAACCTTTGAAGTTTTCTTTGAAATAAAGCCTCTATACAGCAGTTGTGAGGAACACCAACTTTTCCTGCGTTTGTCCTTCCAGCTCTTTTAAACAGACGTCACGAGGTAAGACCCGGAGTGGCGCTTAGGACTTTGGGCTCCACTGGACTCTGTGCTGTCCGTCTTTGAGTCTCGCTTCTTTGTGTTGCTGCTCACTGGTGTGGGGATCTGAGAGGGCCGGGCTGAAGTGCTGTCTGCACTGCTTTTCCTTGGGCTGGGGTTGTAATTGAAAGGCGTCACCCTGGCAGCAACTGTCCCACTAGGCGAACTGTGTTTGCTGGGGCCACTTGAACTGAAAGGGGTGCGCTCGACTACAGAAGTCTCACTAGTCTCTGCCGCAGGGACAGGGTTACCCTGTCCCGGTTTTGTCTCAGTTCCTTTCTGTTCTGGGGCATCTACCTGAATAAAGGAGTTCAGGCGGTTTTCCAGACCCACGGTGTGCACAGGACTGCCATTGCCCACACTTTGTTTTCCCTGGGTATCCTTTGAATCTTTAGTGCTTGGATTTCCCTTTTCTGAAACACTGTCAATCACTGGGGGGGTGTTACCTGTGGGAGATCTTCCAGATCTAGGGTTGTTAATGGGGCAGTCCTCAATTCTCACCCAAACGTCCTCTGTTTTAGAAACAGCAGGTGCCATCTGATAAATCAGAGTCTTTGACTCAGCACCATTGGCAGCACCGGAGGAAATGGTCTGAGAAAGCATGTTTGTGGGAGAAATTTCACTTTCTTTTATTTTCCTCCATGTGCCTTTTGTGGGTACTTGGTTTTCTTTCATTGGTCTGGGTCCTGGCATGGAGCTTACATGCTTTTCATCCTCACTTCTGGCTTTTTCACTGGACTCTGATGAAGCGGAAAGAATAGAAGATGAGCTTCCAGTTCTTCTCCAAGTGCTCACCCGAGGAAGGGATGAGGAGTGTTTACTGTGCTCACGCTTCCAGGTTCCTGCCCGGTTGATTGGCAGTCTGGAAGGACTTTCAGAATGGGAGCGAGAGATATCATGGCGCTTTCCTGGTCTTCCATCATTGTACTCAATAGTGGGGCTAAGATTATTAGGTGGGAGCTTTCGCCATCCACCAGGCTGAACAGATGGATGTGTCGACAGAGACATATCAGGAAGGGAAGGACTTAAAACTGGGGTTTGTGCCTGGGATCTGGTGGGAGAATCTGGTCTAGAAGATGGAGAAAGGGATTCAAATGAGGCGGATTCCTCCAGTTTCCTCCTTAGGGTCGGGCTTGGCGCTTCTTTGATGAAAGTAGATTGGCGTACTAATGTAGGTCTTTCTGATCTATCCGATTCACTTCCACTTGACTTAGTTGAAGACATCCTAGAAAGTTCTACCTTTTTATTAGACCCATTGCCATTATTCATCTGATTCAGTCCTTTCGATGCAGACTCACTTCTTGGGATACTACTAGCATTCTTGGATAAGCCTGCTTGTTTGGTAAGGTTTTGTTGGCTCATCTGTCTGCCGGGGGATGTATAGGACATTTTCCCAGAGCCTGAAGACTTGGTTGAAGCAGTACTGGGAGATGATGTCCTGGGTAGCTGAGATAGTTTGTTAGGAGGGCTTATTCCATTTCTACCAGGGGAGATAGAGTTTCGTCCTGGAGACTGCATTGGCCTACTTAATGGTTGCTGTGTAGGTCTTGAGGGAGTCGAGTCTCTAGAGCCGGATCTAGAAGGCCCCTTGTTAGATCCACTGATTTGGGAAGTTTGCCTCGTAAGAGGACTCAGCTCTGATTTCACTGATGGCTTGGTTCCTCTAGGAGAAGTTGTGGCTGCTGGACTCTCACCAGGGCTTTTGGAGGCTGGAGTCTTGAGGGGTGGGCCTTTTTTAGAAACAGGGCTTGTACTTGAGGAGCTATTCCGAACCCCTGGGATATGAATCATGGTCCTGCCTCTTGAGATTGAAGGCATGTTTGTTTGGAGGGGCTGTTTCATTTGGCTGGAAATTTCTGAGTTAGATCGAATCTTTCCAGTAATCAAGCTTTTATAAACCTTTTTCCCACCTTTGATTCCTTTATTTTCAGATTCTATCTTTTTTGCTTCTAATGTGCTTTTCTCCCCAGGTTTGAGAATTCGTGGGCCTTTATTACCTGTGAAGGGTTTTTCCTCTTGATCAGGTGTAAGATGAAAAGGTGATCCCAGGGAAATGCCTGATTTCAGTGACAGAATGGAATCAGAATCAGATGAAGCCTGTCTAGATAAACACGCGGCAGCAGCGGCAGCTTGATGCAAACTACTTACTATGGAGTTTGCACCTTCCTGAATAGCTTTCCAATCAAAATTCTCTGAATCAGGAGATAAACCATGTTCTGAATCTGGCCTCTGTATATCTTTCAAGTCAAGTGTCAGGTCTTCCGCTAAAATGCCACCCAGATTTCTGGGACTCTGCTTTTCACTCTCACCCTTCAGTCTTGAAGGCCTTTTCTTTTTTGGCATTGCAGAACTTATACACTCCTGCAACAGGTCATCTTCAGAATCAATGCTAAGAGAACTGAGAGAGCTGTTTCTCGAGAAACAGACAGGCGTGTCTTCAACGTGAAATGACTTGGGCGCATACCCAGATGCCTGAGGCTTACTTGCTTCTCCTTGTGAGTTAGTAGGTTCAGCTTCTTTGACTGGTTCATTTTCTTTGTTATTATTGTTTTCTTGGTCGATGTCACTAAGAGAACTCAGAGAGGAATTTCGAGAAAAGCAAACTGGAGTGTTTTCAATAGCAAAATTCTGTAATTTTTCATCCGTTGCTGCCCCTCTATCTGGCAAGTCTTTGGAGGGTTGAGGGAAAGTGGGTTGTTTCGGAAGCACTGGTTTAGATTGGCCCCTGTTTACTGGATGTTTTGTACTAGCTTGTGACTTACTAGCTGGCTGTTGGCTTGAGGGTGGCTCTGTGTGGCAGATAACTTTGGCTTCTGAATCCTTACTTTCTTTCCCCTTTCTTAACTCGGCCTTTTCCCTGGAAAGGTCAACATCGTCATCATCAAAATCTAGAGAACTCAAAGAGTCATTTCGTGAAAAACAGTAAGGAGTTCCTTCAATGGGGGTGTAATGATGCGGTGAATCGAAGGCGAAGCTTCCTCGGACTCTGTCTTCATTGTTGGGCAGCTTATCACTGAAATCCTTGGGATTGTTTTTCAGGCTCTGTTTCTTTGAGTCTTTGTTGTCTGAGAAAGTTTCTTCAGCATTTACGTTAACCTTTGAGTCTGTGTTCTTCCTCACACGTGTTCTGTACTCAGTGTTTTGTGGCATGGGCTTTACTGGGGAAGTAGGCTTCTTTTTCTTGGTGTCTGTTTGATTTTTGTTAGTTACAGATGAAGTCACTGAAGCTTGTTGGACCTGGTCCATTATCTTTTTCACTCGGAAAGGCTTGTGGCTTTTTCCTTTGGGCATCGCAGAATTGATACATTCTGCAAGAATATCTCCTTCCTCTGCTTTACTGTCATCCAGGTCTGGCATAGCCATGGATGACATTTTCCCCCTCTGAGCTTCATCTGTACTTCTGCCCTCTGTAGGAATGGTATCTCGTTTTTCAAATTCGCTTGGCTGTGTACCTGCTCTAACCCCATCTCCAGCAGCCAACTCATTTGGAGGGGATTCTATTGTCAGATCACTTAAAGATGTTGCGGTAGAAAAGTTTATAGGTGTCCCTTCTACACAGTACACACGGGGCATGTCATCTCCTGGTGTAAAGCTAACATGCTTTTGTGCCTGCAGCCGGTTTTGTGATGGCAGAAGTTTGTACACAGGCAGTTGACTTGGTTTCCTTGCCACAGGTGGAGGTAATTTTGAAGCAGTTTGGGCTAGCTTTTTGGCTTTGCGTGATGACTTTGTTGGCATGGCTGAAATAATACATTCTTCTAATATTTCAATATCATCATCATCTGAATCATCTAATAAGTCTTTTTCAGAGTCAGGTTTTTCTACCTCTTTCTCCTGGTTTTCATTTGATTCTTCAGGTTGCTCTGGTTCAGTCTCATTCCCATTGTCATTTTCCTGAACTGGAGGCATTATTCTTAATTCCACATCTTTCTGTATAAATGGCTCGTCGAGGCTCAGTGCACTCAGGCTAGATGAACAAGAAAACCCATCTGGAGTACTTTCTGTGGCAAAGTGCAATAGAGTGTCAGCATCCGGAAGGACCTGGACCCTCTGGACGGCAGCATTTACAGCTGTCTGCTTAGGTCCACTTTCTCTCTTCTCAGCAGCAGGGACTTTATTTTTTGGCACCTCTCTCTTGGTCTGGACTGTCTGTGGAGGAGGTGGAGGGGTTTTGCTTCTGCTTGGTGGCATGGTCTGTCCAGGGCTATCTGGAAGGTCACTGGGGCTTATAATACCACTCACCATTCCACTGCACGGCTCACTCTGAACAGAGCTGGCAATGGAACGACTCTCAAAGCTGTCAAGTGAGCTGACAGAAGTACATCTGCTGAACACGAGTGGAGTTTCCTGGACATAGTGCTCTGGGGGACTTTTGGGCGTCTGAGCACCACTTTTGGAGGGAGACTTGGCCCCTGAAGAAAACTCAACAGCCTTATGCCTGGTTGATTCCGAAGATAAGGCAGAAGCCTGGAGTCTGCTGGGTTTGGTTCTAGCACTCTGGGACACTGCTGGAACTTCGCTTGCAGGATCTTCAGTTGACCGAATAACATCATTCTCTTTTATTTCTGCTATCTGCAGAGTACTAGCAGAATCTGCTTCCTGTGTTGTCTGATCACATCCTATTTCATCTTCAGCTGATGACAAAGAAGATAATGAACTACACCTTGAGAAACATATGGGGGTGTCTTCTACACAGTAAGTCTGTATTGTTTCTTGGTTGATGGAGGGGACTTTGCACGTGGTCCCTTTTTGCGTCTGACCATTTCTTTGTGCTGATCCTGGATGCAGCTGGTTCTGCCTTTTGGCATTAGATGAAGCTGTGGATGTAGTCTCATTGTTTGGAGAGAGATGTTCAGTTTTAGTGCTCTGGGCTGCTGAATTCTTTGAGAATGAAAACGATGGTTTCTGTGAGGAAGAAATGTCAGTGGCATATTTTAAACTATAATCAATAGGCTGGTCCACATGATGTTTTTCTTCATTATACTTTATACTGTAGTTTGTTGGTCTCTCTTCTTCTTCATGTTGTTCTTCCTCAGAATAACGTTCACTGTAGTTGGTAGGCTTATCATCTTCATAGTCATCTTCCTGACACAAAGACTGGTTTACATTTTGATTAATTGCATGACTAGAACCCATTCGATTTGTTTCTGAGCCGCTGGTTCCTCTAGACCTATATGGGGAAACACATTCCTGTTGTGGAAAATGTGGTGTTTGGAATTTGAGGTGTTTGTCATCAGTGTTCTCAGAATAGACAGGATAATTGGTGTTTTGGCTTCTTGATTGTCTTTGCTCATTCTGCTTTATTTCATCTTCTATTACATGCTTCGGTCTTGCCCATCTTTCATTCTGTGAGGGACTCTGCCTTCCAGAGTTCAACTGCTCATCTGAGTATTTAAGACTGTAATTTATTGGTGTATCCAGTTCTCCATCATTATCATCCATATGATTTGCACTATGTATCTTATGGGCTAAGTCAGCTGGATACTGACCATAACTGCAAAACTTACTTTCATCATCTTCAGAATAGGATTCGATTGAGGGTTTCATTTGACCTCTTCTACCATAACCATCACTACTATTGACACTATTTAAACTGTCATTTGAAGATCTCTTATATTCCACTTTGGCATAAGGCATAGAACATGTCCTATTTGAATTTTCTGACTTAGTGAAGTTGTAAGTGTTGGCATGTGTATGGGAAGCAGAGCTTCTTCGTGCTGCATTCCTCTCATCCGTCACACAATGGAATTCAGTGGTAGCCCCAGGATTTCTGTCTTCCTGGGAGGTATGAATGGCTGACACTTCTTCCATAACTTTGGCAATCTGGGCTGCAGTACTAGAGATCTGCAAACCTCGTTTTGAAGAGGATCCTGGATTTTCTGTTGCTGAATGGTAAGTGCTGAGACCAATACCTCGCTCTCTCTCTAAACTTCTGTCTTTTTCAGAACGAGAACTGTCTAAACTTCCCCTTGATGAAGAAGAGCTGGGCAATACTGTAGTATTTAAATATGGTGAGAGAACAGTCAAGTTTCCAGTATTAAAATTATCTGACCTATTATCATCATGTCGATTGGTGTCAAAAACATAGTCACCATAAAGATTTGGCTTGTGTCTCTGCTTACTACGATGAGATGCCTTGGGACTTAAATTGTCAATATTGTCAAAGGTTTCTGATAAATGCTGAGCATCTAATTCCGCTTCTAGGGCTTTTTGTTTCCTAACATGAAGAGATGGCAGACTTGAACCTGGAGACATAATATTTGCATCCTTATACTTTGCAGGTCGGTTTGCCATGAGATTCCTTAAAGCAGCAGCACTTCCCATAGCGATCATTTTGTGCTTTGAGTGAATGAGGTTCTTGAGCATGCTCACAGCCCCCATGTCCCATAAAGCTTCCTGGTCTTTAGGATTTCTTGCTGAGAGATTCCACAGAGTTCCACATGCATTGCTGACTATTGTCAAGCTGTGAGATTTCAAGTGCTGTAATAAAGTCTGTAGGCAATTGTTCTCTCTTAGGATTTGCCTGAATTAAAACAAGAACACATAAGATTAAGGGGAACATGTGATGAGTGACAACAGATAAAGGGGCAGACAACAATTTTAAACAGAAAGATGGTTACTAAACACAGTAGGCATAACATAAGCATATCAACTATCTTGTGGACTTTAAGCATGTCACCTCTGCTTTCATTCTCTTGGTTCAATTAGTGTTTACTGTTTCAAAGTACCTATCTGTCAGACCAAAAGTACTGAAAGGGAGTGTTAGGTCTCTTTATTCTGATCCACTACAAGAAAAAAAGAATTGTTTTGAGCACATACATTTTCTCCATTCACAGAGTAATAGTTTTCTAATTTAAAGACTATAAACACATAATGAAATCTTAAACAGCGACTGTGGCGATTTAATATACAGTAAAGCAACCATGTTGAATACTGAACTGAGATATCTTGGGAAGATATCTGTAGTCAGGGAGCACACATGCTTCTAGACCAGCAAGCTTATTTTCTAGAGTGATCTCTGTCTTTGTGACAATGCCATACCTTTTTTACATGCTCTTTGGCAGACTGTATATACTCACTTAAAAACAAAAACCATGAAATATAGGTTTTAAAAATACAAAAAGCATATAAATATGAAGGCTAAAAGTCAACATAACAAACTCTGGGTCCTGGACAGACCTATAGCCTTTTAAATATGAGAAACACTAACATCTAGTGACAGGATAGTCTACTTTAGTAAACTTTAAAATTGTTTGCCCAGGGTATACAATAAACATCAATACTGTCTTCTCTAGTGGGAGGGAGATGAGAGAAGGTAAATATGATCAAAGTATGAAACCCAATATTTTGTACAATGAGATATACTAACCAAAAAAAAAACAACAAAAAACAAAAAACAACACACACACACACACACACACACACACACACACACACACACACACACACACACACAAAACGGAAACAAAAGAAAAAAAAACATGGTGGAGATCCTCAGTTCAGTATCAGCTGAGATCTTATTGAACTTAAGTGTTCTCTGCATAGCAGAAAATGACATGAAACTTCCAGTTTATGCATCAAAGGCTTAAATTAGTAAGTTGTGAAAGATACCTACATTTTGTTGCCATAAAACAGATACATACATATCTCTCTACCTCAAAAGATGAGAATATGAATCAAAGTTGATATGCACTGTGAAAATGTAACACAGGATAACAATGTGTACCCTAATTGGTGATTTCTGAAACTTCACAGTTTATTAGACTGGATGAATAAATAATCTGATGAATGAGACACCATTAGAAAAATGTTGAGCTCTTATGCTTACTAGATCATACTCAGGAATTTTTTCTTTGCTTAAAAATTAGTTTTACATTCCTTTGTCATCTGAATAGGTAGGGAAGAATTAAAAGTATTTTGACTTTTATCATTTTTCTACAGACAATACAGATAAAATATACTTCCCAACTACCATTTATTTATTTGTAGATTCCTATAAGATATCTCAAACTTTACTAGCAAAAACATGCAAGTGAGTTATGCTAGGAGTAGTAGTTATCTTTGCACTGCAATAAGGACATTTTGCTTAACGTTTTCATAATGTCAAAACATTTTACAATTAGGTCTTTCTAGAGAAATAAACTCTTAATAACCCGTTTAAAAGTAATATAAGGCTTGGTATGTACCTGTGGTCTTCATTTGTAGCTATCAAGCTGGACACATTTCGTAATATCCCACCTCCACTTTCAATGATGGCTAAAGTGTTTGTCTGGCTTCGGTAAGTGAGAGTGCCAACTAAAAATGCCAGTGCTCCATCCACAGCACATATGTCAGCTTTATTCTCAGTGCAATGTGCAGACAGATTCCATAAGGCACTTAAGACACTCTTGAGGGTTGATTCCTATTAATGACGGAAACACAGTATGTATCATTTAGTTAGAATCTTACTTCTTTTTGTTTCTCCTTCTGCACATTCCTCACCAGTAAATCAGGAACTTTTCATGTACACTTTCATGAAAGGTCAAATGAGATTTTGGTCAGTGTTGTTCCTATAATACAACACAGTATTAAACTAATGACCTTCATTCTAAGTGTTTAGATGCTAGACATGTATCTTTAATGAACCCAGAATATGAAGAGAATTGATATCCACTTTCATAAGATATTATCAGGGTAACAGAAACCCAATTAAAACCCCTTCATATACTGTACATGGACATGGAAGGACATCTAAGTACTAAATGACAACACACTGCAGAATAGGTTATATAATATTCTAATTTTATTAAAAACAAACATGTAAATACTGAAAAGGACTAGAAAATGTACAAATTCTTAAAACTCTAAAGAAACAAGGTTATGAAAAGGCCCAAGTTCCCTAATATGCAAAAATTTTAATTGCTACAGAAACACTGGGGTATGTAATTAATGATATATGGTCATAATTTGTTACACTCCAAATGTCAGTGTTTCTTTTTATGATACCACCAAGGAAGGAGTCTTCATTAGAAATGCATTTGCTCCTAGCAGAACAAGAAGCATCCAGACAATACAGATGCAACACAGTACTCTAAAAAGAAGGCAACTACAGTTTGAATTTAATACAAATACCTCAGAAATGATACAACACTGTAGGATAACGTAGATGTAGAGAGAAAACACCAGATGCAAAAGCTAAATCCCCAACAGGGTCTTAAATACTTTACTTGGAGTCTGAACCCTAATGTCTTGTGCAGACATATAGAGCCTAATTCCCAGTAACTCATGGTGCCTTACCTAAATGGCCAGTTTCATGTAACTCATTAGCCAGGTATAGTGGCTCATGCACTTGGGAGGATTGTTACAAAATCAAGGCAGCCTGTCTACATGAGACCCAGTATCAAAACAACAAGAACAAACAAAAAACAAACACTCCCAACACACACACACAAAGCACACATGCACACACACACACACACACACACAAAGCACACATGCACAAGTGAGAAGGTCCTGAGTTCAATTTTAATTACAATGTGATTGCAGTAAAGATAGGATGATCAAGAAGAAAAGTGGCAAAAACTGCCAGGTAGTGGTGGCGCATGCCTTTAACACCAGCACTCAGGAGGCAGAGGCAGGCGGATCTTTGTGAATTCTGGTCTATAGAATGAGTTCCAGGATGGCCAGGGCTACACAGAGAAACTGTCAACCAACTCAAAAGTGAGGTACAAGAGCACAGAAGATCCAGAGACTACAGGCCAAAGACCAAAGGTCTGCATTAAACAAGATTTACAGTTGAAATTACGGGAGGCATGAAATGATTACAAGCTGGGGGTGGAGTTCAGGTGTGCAGCTATGTGCGTAGGGCTTGAGAAGGAGAAGAAATGACTAGAGATTAGAAATAAGGAAAGGAGTTACAGATTAGTAATGGATAAAAAAGTATACAGTGCAAGGAAAGAGGAAAGAAAAACAAATAAACCTAAGTAGATTTTGAGACAAAGGAAAAACTATCAGGAGTCAAATTAGAAGGGATTGAAGCAGTGACTCATTCATGACTTCGGCTGTTTGTTATGGGAAAAGAAATACTCTAGTAATTAGAAGCCATGGAGAAATTTTTACTGTTAAAATATGCAGATTTTTGTGGATCACTGAAACATAAGAAAGGAGTAACAGTAAATAGCAAAGTGTGAGACATAGCACTAATTTCCTTAAAAATTTTATGGAGTTATTATTGAAGAAAAATAAACTGTACATCTTTCACATATAGTCTTATCATGTTTAATGTAATATATATACACTCACGAACCTTTCACTCCAATTAGGTAACAAACATTTACATCTCCCAAGGTTTCTTCAAATGCCTCTCAACCTATCTTTTCATTCTATCCCAGGCCCTAGACAATCACTGATTTATTTTAGACACTAGCATCATCCTCAATGAACAAAGGGTTAACTAATACTCTCCCTCTACTGATTCTATCTGGTGCTGCTGTCTTAAGTTTCAAAAAGTACAAGCTAAAGAGAATTTCAGGAACAAAAGAAACCATACAAGGTTGCAGATAATTGTTGAGCCCACTCAAATGATACATGGTGGGCTGGCGAAATAGTTAACAAAAAAGCACCTGCTACATAAACTGCATAACCTGAGTTCAATCCTGGAGCCTATGGTGGAAAGAGAGAATCAACTCCTGAGATTCCCTGACCTCAACATGTGCCCACATAGGCATGCAAAAAAATTCACAGACATACATGCATGAACACAAACACAAAGTCAACTGGAGAAGTCTTTTAAAATAATCTTGTTATTTATTTTTCAATACTTTGTTCTTTGGGCTGGGAAATAGTTCATCTGGTAAACATGAGTACCTGAGTTTGACTCTCCCAAAGCCCATGTAAAAAGCTGGGTGTGGTAGTGTGCATCGAGAAGGCAAAGACTGGAAGATGTCCAGCCAGTCTAGTGTAATAGATAAGTTCCAGGTTCACCGAGAGGATCTGTCCAAAAACAGGCTGGAGAGATGGCTCAGCAATTAAGAGCATTTGGCTGCTCTTCTAAAGGACCCAACATCCTCTTTCTGGGCTCTGAGGGCACGAGGCATGCATGTGGTACACAGGCATACATGTAGGCAAAACACCATACATATAAAATAAAAAAAATAAGGCAAAGGGCCACAGATACAGCTCAGCAGATAAGAGTGTCTGCTTAGCAAGCACAAAACCCTGCATTTGAATCCTGGGACCATGTAAAATAAGGCGTGGGACACATGCCTGTAACCCTGCGAGGTGGAGGCATAAGGATCAGAAGTTCTAGGTCATCCTTGGCTGCATACTGAGTTCTAGCCTGTGCTTGAAAATAAACAAAAAAACCAACTGAAGAGTATTGAGGAAGATATCCTATACGTATCTGTAGTCTGCACATGCATGAACTCATGAACACACTCACCCAAACAGACACACACCTACACCCACACACCCCATTTCTTATTTTTAAGCCAGTACCCCATTATGCTGCCTAGGATGATCTTAAACTCTTGGGCTTGAGTAATCCTCCCATTATACCCTGCTGGGTAGGCTGGAGCTATACGAATGTAATACTTTGTAACTAGTACATTCTTTTTATAACTGTAAAGAATTTCATTGTACATATACTTTATGGTTTGCTGTTTACCTATTGACAGTCATTACAGTTTCTTCTGACTTTTGGCCATTACAAAATTATGAAGAACATTCATGTTTAAATCTGTGTGAGAACATTAGTTTTTGTTCCTGTGGGTAAATTCTTAAGAATGGAATGACTGGGTAGTTTGGAAGGTGTATGTTTAACATAAATCCTGTCCAAACATTTTCCTGAGTGCTATACAATTTCACATTCCCAACAACAGTACAGAATGCCTCCAGTTGGTCAACAACCTTGACATGTGGTTTCTTTTTAACTTTAAGCCAGTATGGTATGTATACTAGCATCTCACTGTAGTTTAATAACAAATGATAGCCTACACTCTTTTCAACATTTAGTGGCTGTTCATATCTTTCTGGAAGAATCAGTCCTAGTCACCTATTTAGCAGCGTCAAATGTATCTTTATAGTGAACCTACATAAATGTGTATGATGAGTGTGCAATTGTATGAGGACAGCCTCTTGTTTTAGACAGGGTCTCCCAGCACTAGGGAGGCAGAAGCAGGTGGATTGCCAGTTATAGTACTAAACATTTTAAAAGTTACCTTTTTAACTTCCAAAGCACATTCCATCAATGCTTTCACACTTCCAACTTCTCGCAATGTCTTTTTGCTATTTACATCTGCTCGCCAAGACAAATTCCTCAAAACACTTGCAATAACCTGCAAATAATCAAGTTTAGAATAATTTGTATATAACGATTCATACTAGTTATGTTTTTGTTTCTAATGCTAGAGGTAAGAGTAGGAATCTATTACAAGTTAAATATACCTTATCTAAATGCTTTGCATCGTGTTTTGATTTTAAAATTCTTTTTAAATATTTGTATATGTGTTAGATTCCCTGGGTATGAGAGATTATATTCCATAATATGTATCTTACATGTGTAACACAAAGGTAACTTTACATAGTATTTTAATAACTTAGTGCACAGAACAGTTTCACAACACTGATTTTATACATGTGGTGTCATGTCAGCAGCATACAAACAGTTTCAGATTTTGGATTAGAAATGCTCTAGCTACATGATCAAAGCATGGTATCTGCATGTATTGAAAGGTCATAAGAGAAACCCATTGATTTGTACAATAAATATGATTAATTATAATAATAAAAGCAGGAATTTTCTGTCTATAGTAAATTTCTCATACATGTTACTAGGGTGCCAAGAGGAATTACTTCAATATAATTACTTTCCTTTAGTGTTAATGGAACCATATTTTAACATAAACAACTAAATATTGAGTCAAAGCTTAATATAAATCAGTACATTAACCATTACTATTCATTACTATTTGAGAAGAACATTAAAAATTTGAAGCAGTACCTGCTGTAAGTCTTCACTTTCAGATTTTAACTGGGCCACAAGTGCTCTCATGCAGCCTTTCATAGAACATAGTGTAGCCTGTAATGGTAGATGTGGGACAGGATCATCAATGAGCCAGCCTGAAATGGCTTTCTCTCCCCCCCCCCCCTTTTGAGACAGGGTTTCTCTGTAACTTTGAAGGCTGTCCTGGAACTCACTCTAAAGACCAGGTTGGCCTTGAATTCAAAGAGATCCACCTACCTATGCTTTCCAAGTGCTGGGATTAAAGGCATGTACTACCACCACCTGGCCTAGCTACTGAATTTCAAACCTGGTTTTGACTTCAATCATAAATGTTATTTTACCTGTACAAGATCCAGAACAAGATTACCTAAATGAAAGATAGATGTCTCTTATTTCTGGTTAGTTATTTCCTTTACCTAATTGGAAAAACCAAACAAAATCCCGAGAAACGATAAGCAAAGGATAAAGCTTTGTTCTGTCTGATGGACTCAGTACTTTACTTTTAACTCCTGGGGACAGTGTTTTATATTATTTTCTATAGTGCTGGTGATTGCACTTTGTAGGTAAATGAACTACCATTTTTTGCTACATCCCTAGTATGAGGAGCAATGCTGCTGGTGAAAGGCAGCCTACTAAGGCTACACAATGCTGAGAAAGGGAGATTTTAGTGTCACTGTTCAACTGCGGTGGATGGGAGACACCAGAGATCAGTAGTAACTCTGTTTCTTTAGTTCAAAAAGCTATTTTTATGAAAATAAATGAACTCCTAAGTGAGCTACCTTAAAAAATACATCTTACAAAAGACATACCTTGTTGGCAACATCTCCAAAGGTCAAGTTCGTCAAAGCCATTCCAGCATACCGTCTTAAAGTAATACTGTAGTGGTCATTAGTAAGCCCATACATCTCACAGTCCACCTGTAACAATTCTGCAATGGCCTGCAGTCCCCCTAATTTAACAAGGGGAAAAGGAAAAATCTGTAATAATCCAGAATCAAATAAGCTGGTATAATTTGGCAACTTAAAAACCAGGGGGGGGGGGGAAATCTCAAAGAATGAGAATACATGATTTAAATTTGCCTTTAGAATGAAAAGCACAAAACTTTGTACTTTACAACTAACAGTGATTCCACTTTCTGCCATTGTCTCCACCCTCCAGCCTCTAGCTTTACTGAATGAAATAAACATTGTTTTCTATTCACTGATGTACACTGTGCCTCGTCAACAATGAAGGCTATTTGTTAACACTGGTCTTCCTAATCAGAAAAATGAGCTTATTGGTGTTATGAGGGTTTTAAAGCTACTTTCCATTATCATGTACTGTGGCCTAATACTTTTTTAATGTGTCAAATAAGTATCCTTAGGAATAATGAAACTTTTAAATGAAATTGTGCTTGAAGCAAAACTTCTTTCATGAAAAGAATGATCTATTCAACCAACTACAAAGTTCTATAAAGTTTCTTTAGAACATAATCTTACTTCCTTTTGGTACTGCTACATATCCAACATACCAGGATTCAGGGTTTTCCTTCTTCCTAATACTTAACTAGAAGGCATGCTTAACAATATTCACAGTGTCAACACTAGGAAGGAAAGGAGAAAACATACGGGGAAGGAAAGGGGAAGACAAAAAAGGAAGGGGCTATAAAAAAAAAAGTGACAGAAAATGGTGAGGATGAGAATAAAAGAAAGATAAAAGTGCACATGAACTACTAAAGGATTATTCATCATCATGAACATCAATCACCACAGGACTTGGAATATTGTTTTGTTAAAGAGAAGGTGCATGTGCTTGGCTTACAAGTCTCAACAGGTTGCTAACATGAAGAACATGAAAAGATCAGCAGAATTTGCAAATTTAGAAAACGAAGTTCTGTGTTGAACTCAGAACTGTAAGACAAGATATCTTAACTATAGGAGGATCCATGAAGATCTTTATAACAAGAAAAGATAACAGGCAATTCTCTAAACCCTGGCAAGCAATTTAATTTGTCTAAAGAGAATTCAAACCAGATTTATGAGGATTTTCCACCACCTAGTTGCAATAATGGGTAAGTACAGTCAGTGAAACAAATCCAGTCACTGTCTTCATGAAATTTACCAATGGCGTGAAGCACCCAGATCTGGAATGTGGAAGGCCCCAAGAAAAGGGTCTAAGAAACAGATTTTAAGGTGAAATCTAATGGACGGCTGAGTATCTAACAAGGGTGGGGCAAGGAAGAGAAAGAATTACTCTAAAATGGGCATTGGTGTTGCACTCCTTTAATCCCAGCATTTGGGAGGCAGAGGCAAGCGGATCTCTGTGAGTTTGAGACCAGCCTGGTCTACAGAGTGAGTTCCAGGACAGCCCCCAAAGCCACAGAGAATCCGTCTTGAAAAAAACCAAAAAGAATCTCTAGGCAGGAAAAACAGTATGTGTAAGGGCCCAACAAGGAGGTTCCATCAACTGAAGCTGAACAATGAGCAGATAAGGATGTTAGGAAGAGCAGTACAGTTAGAGGCACACTATAGAAAGAGTGTGACTGCAATGTGCAGAATGGCTTATAACTGGAAGTAGTACAAAATATGCAGAACCAGAAAGACAATGGTGCCTTGCCTCATGATGAGAAATAGCAATTTTATATGTTCACACACACACACACACACACACACACACACACACACACACACAGTTTTTGAGACAGGGTCTCACTATGCATCTCTGATAGACTTGAAACTCCCTATGTAGACCAGGCAGGCCTTGAACTCATTGAGCTCAACACCTATCTGCCTCCCAAGCACTGGGATTACAGGTATGTGCCACCATGCCTGGCCCAAGATATACTCAAGAAATAGGATTAAAGTGCTCAGTTACTACATGTAGGAGATACCAATGCAATCATGGATGATTTTCCTAAGATTTTGATTGAAGCCACTGGGTTATCAGAATCCCAAAAAGAACCCTAGAAGAGACAGCTTTGGGAATGGAGGTAACAAATTCCATCTGTGACAGCTCAGCTAGAAACGTCTAGAATACCAAATAAAGGAAGATGTCAGATAAGCGGTATGAAAACATATCCAAGGGTTTGGTGGTAGTTTGCCTAGCACACATAAAACTTAGGAGGGAAAAGTTAGATCAAGACATGAATCAGAAAAACACCACAGTAGATGGAACCCTAAGAATAGATGATAAAGCACAGGGACAAAGAACAGAAGTTGAAGGCCTAGCTTCAATGAGTGCCAGTATTTTGTATACTGAGTAAAGGAGGAGGTGTCAGCAACATAACTGATATTTTGATGCAAGATACTGACTAGGAGTCACTGAAGACTGTGGCTCAGGGTACCAATGAGATGCTCAAGATGTACAGCACTGTGAAGCAGGGCCTCGAGAACAAGGCAAAACACACTATGCTCGGTTTTTGCATAAAGTCTTGCCTAGTGTAGGATCTGCATTACTGCCTAACAAAGATAACATGGTCTAAAGAAGGTGCTAAGAAGGCCTTCAATTGTCAGAGAACTCTTATATATCTCAAAATATCAATTTTTAGGATTTGATTTTAAAGAAAGATTAAAGTCTTTCAACAGTTCTATAAGAACTATGACTGATGAAAAAATTATAAAACTTGAAATTTAGTTAAGAGATCCCTTTATAATTTCAGGCAAGTAAAAAGAAAAAAACAGTGAATTCTGATGCAAATTCATAACTGGCAAAATAAAAAACTGATTGCCCTATGAAAAATGAGTATGTTTCAATACAAAGGTGAGTATATCCTTCTGTATTTTGGGGGTCTGTTAGGAAACAGTGGTCTAGATGAGCTTTATTATTAATATGATGTTTCATTATGTTACAGATAAGGAAGATTCAGCTGCTTCAAATGGTATTAGCAGAACCCATACTTTAGCCTCTTAGTTAAACTAAAAGAAGATAATAAGATACTTAATTTTTAAAAGTATGGTATTTTTTTTAATCATATAGCCTACATAGCCATCATTAGTATGAGATGTCCTATTCTAAAATGAATACTAGGGTCCACATCAATATTCTGTAGACTGATTATTTCAGTTTCACAGTCATAAGCACCACTTGGGCTGTTTATTTAATGGGATTCCTGGTGTTCTACTCTGGGGAGACTATTTGCTACAGGGCTGGAAAATCTATCTGGCCTGGCAAGTACCTTTGCTGACTGTTACGATCTAGAAATCTTGTGAATATTAATGTAAATAAATTATGTTTTTACTGGAAGTCAGGGAATGTCTTAATCATTTGAAAACTCCAGGTGTAGCAAACTTTCTGGGACAGGCTAGGGAACTAACAAATATACATCTCCAACACTATAATCTGAAAGTTTTGGTACTAACAGGTGTAAACTTAAAACTCTGATAGTGGTAGATCCTCACATACATACAAGTGACAGTGCTCAATGACTAGGTTTAAGAATTCTCCTCTCATCTAATTGGGACTGGTACCTTCTTGCTCCTTACTTCCAGATCCCTGTGCTGTCTCATACTCTCCCTGTGACTCACAAACTTTAACTCTTCTTTTGCCCCAGTGCAAATCTGAAGGCGAGGAGTGAGAGGAAGGTAACCCCTGTGGCTATGTCCCCAGTCACACCCCCAGAGGCCCCATCCTGCTCCTCACCTGAAAGCCCCTGACCTAGCTCCTGTGATGAAATGCCCCGGGTAGCCTTCCTACCTGAAGAAGAAGAGGAACAAATACTGAGTCTAAGTTTTATTCTGAAATTCAGATAATTAATGTGTCAGTCCTAGTCTATAGTCCACTGGAACACATGAACACTTACAGTATCTTAACACTGAGTTCTCCTGTTGTTTTATCCCTTTTTTATAATTATTGACATTAAGAAAATAAATTCACAAATGCTGGGATTAAACTGAAATGGGGAAAACTCCTAAGAGTAAATGAGGTTTCACAGGACACTGGAAAGAGGATCAGATGGGCCTGTGGGAAGAAAAGCATAGCTGGAAAGCAGGCCTCAAATCACAGAGCAGAGTCCTCCAAAGGGCTGACCCTGAAGGAGACACACTTGCTTTCTGCAGTGCAGTTTGGATTTAAGAGTCTCATAACTTTACCACTTTTACAGTAAATGATGATTAACAATGATGAGGGTGGGAAGAATACAATGCAGGGGCTGGAATGCAATGTAACATAAATAGCACAAAAGCATGGGCATACCTATTCCAAGACAGAAACTCAGTGTATAGTTCTTGCATGTGGCATGTGTACAATAAATCAAGAAATTAAAGAAAAACCATTCACAAAAAAAATGGATGCTCAGTGGTTCCACAGGGTTTAGGGGATATGATATTATGTACCTAAAGGAGTAATTTTTTCAAAATTAATGAAATGTTTCTAAGTTCAATTAGAACATGTCTTTCTACATATACTAGTTTCAACCATAGTAAAAATACAGTAAAATGCCAATAGTCATTAAGATAAATCAAAATCTTAATTAACTTCTTCCTGGTGTTCATCTAAAATGACTAACAGATTGTAAGAACGAGGACTGTCCTGTTGCATCCTACCCCCAGCCCTGACAGGGTTTCTCTGTGTAGCCCTGGCTGTCCTGGAACTCACTTCGAAGACCAGGCTGTCCTTAAACTCATAGATCTACCTGCCTCTGCCTCCCAAGTCCTGGGATTAAAGGGGTACGTCATCACTGCCTGACTAAGAACAATGATGTTTTCACGAATAATTCAAATTGTCCTCTTCTTACCCGTCTACATTTATAACAATGAATGTCCTTTGTTGTTTTAAAATTCAGCAGCATTCATTCATGGCATTAAGAACCCTTTTTGTCTTACCAAGTTCATTCATAGCATGTCTATGCTCTTCATCAAATGAAAGTTTCATTAGAACACACACAGCAGGACAGATCTGATGTTCAACAGGAGCTGGCACTGAAAAATAAAATTACCTAAGCCGTAACACTTCGTTATCTTAGAAGCAATGTTATTACACGTCTAGAAATGACAGGGTTATTAATATGTCCCTACTGTACAGAAGCTTAGGACATCAACAACTACTTGCTGAATGATGGATGAACACCACAGCTGTAGAACAGCAACTGCATCAAGCATTGTACTTGGTTCCACGTCATGTTCACCACTTGCCAGCCTCAACAAGCCTGTCAGACTAGGCTTCTCATAGAGTTTGCTACAGCTCATCTGTGTAATCATTTTAAATGATGACCACATGAAAGGATAAACATACTTGGGTATAACAATGTTGGATTTTGTTCTTAATTTCACTGTAAACAACCATAAAGGTTATGGTCGCATAAAATGTGATAACTAGCAGAAAGTTTCCTATACAGATACATGTTAAAAATTTAAAGAAAAGGGTATCCCAGAAAATGCACTTACATCTTTAATATTATATACAAAGTCTCAAGTCAATATCTGACATGAAGCATTTTTAAAATATTTTTTCAGAAGCAATAATATGACTTATTAAGTAATTGTGAACACCTTTCCATCAAGAAAGGAATGGTCTCCAAACAAAGTGTCTATCTATTAGCTCTCACTCCAAGGCTCCCTAAGTGGATTAAAAAAAATCATCCCTGCTCTTTTTCCTATACATTTTTAAGATTTGAAATAATCTTTATGTTAAGCTTAGAAAAAATTCTGCTATATAGGTTCAAGGACATATGAACATGTTTTTAGCTTAAGCCTCGGTTTCATTTATCAATGAAGACCATCCATTTCCTTTTCTTCTACTTCATAAATGCTACTACTATAAGGATCAAGAAACAACAGGTAGAGTGTGTCCAGTGATTGCTGATATGAAAATGTAAAAGATTATGGCTTGGCTGCTGAAGAACCTTATGTAAAATTACTTTCCTGAGCTTCATTCAAAAGGCAACTTAATTACTCACATTGATTTTAGCTCTACTAAGTAATTTTTCTTTTTGTGGTTGTCTGCAACAGGTCTTATGACATAGGCTGACTTTGAACTCCTTATCCTCTTGTCTCCATCTCCCAAATGCCAAGATTACACAGATGAGTTATCAAAGCAGGTAGCTCTAAGTTTTAATTACAAATTTCTTCTTGAAAGGTTCTAGCAGGGAACTGCTGCTACTCAAACACTCCTGACTGAACGATGGTCCTCATCTTCTGGAGAAGGCTATCCTCTTCAACTGTGTACTCAGTTTGGGAGAGCAATGAATCAGTAAGGGAGGAATAGAAGACCTGCCCAGCCGGCTCACTCTCACATCTGACTCGCTTGTTCTGTTTTCATCACACAGGAGTGCACATAACATTTTCCATTGTTAAAAGTTTTAAGGAAATGCAGATTTTAGCCTTTAATGTGTTAGCAGGGTTAGCTAGCTAATACAAATCCCTCTATTCATAAAGACAGTTTATAAAGAGTTTCTAACCTATAACTTACATATGCTTTGAAACATGCACTGTGATGTACACTACAGAGAACAAACATACTTGGATTTTTGTCCTGGTCCATGCCTTGTTCATGGGCTTCCTGCCACTCCCAACAGGTTTCACAGTAAGCTCGTATCTGTTCCAAAAGATGAAGGACTCGGATTTCACGCCTGCCTCTCTTGTCATCAGGCTGTGAGTGAATGATGTTGTGGAGGGCTGCACTGGCCCTGGCCCGAGCCTCTTTACTGCCCCGGGAATTTCCCAACAATACAGAGTCTTTGTCATTGCCATGTAAAAGCTGGATGAGGAGAGGAAGACATCCAGACTGTCGCATGGATATACAGCTGTCTTGGGAGCTAGACATAGCTAGCAAAGTTCGTGACATATCGTCCTTATCATGAGTACCAAGCATTGACAACAATGAATACACCATTTCCACCTGTGGGCCAAATGAGTTTAGAAACAAAATTATCACTTTAATACCCAAAAGTCAGATAAAATGAAGTGATGAATGGGACTATTTACTAAATTCATTAAAAATTAAAACAAAACAAAAAATCTTTTCTGGATGAAGTGATGAGTGCTATTTCAAAATAACATTCACAGTTGGTTTATGTGAATAAATAATAATAATATTGCAGACTGTTGAAAAAAGTAGTACTGAAATTGCTATTTGCCTGCATTAGCTAAAGCTGCTTACTATAAGTGAAAATAACTAATGTTTTCTTTCTTTCACACACTCATTCATTCACATTCTCTCTCTCTCTTTCTCTCTCTGGAATGTGTTTAAATTCTTCATATAATTTAAAACTTCATTTTACTTTTAAGCAATAGAAAACATTTAGCAACAATTACAATCTACTAAATACTAAATCTCTTCAATCATTACATTTCATCAGGATTATAATTACAGCATTTAGACTTATATGATCTATTATCATATAAAATTATTTTGTCATAAAATAGAGAGTAGTAAAGACAAGGTATGTCATCATTTTCTTTAAAAGCAACTGGTAAACATTAGTTGCTTTGACAATAATTGGAAGGATTAACTTAGAAGCAAATTAGAAATAGAAAAACAGCATCCAGTAAACATGGGTTGTTACCCTTCAATGTTGGAGGACAGACCATAAAAGAGAGGGTATTATATGAAGAATGCATCATCTGTGTAAGTCAGAGATCAACAAGGATCACCTGACTGTATCTTGAGACGTATTTTTGGTCTTGACAGTGGTATGTGAGTATTAGGGGCATCTTGTAGGTAGAGGCCAGGGGTGCTGCTTAACATCCTACAGTATAACAAAGAATGACTTAGCCCATGTGGCTGAGGTTGCAAATGCTGCTCTGAATGTGTAAACACAGTTTCCAGTGGTGCTTGCTAATTCTATGATGGCAGTGACAGGACTGTGGATAATGTGTTTTCATCAGACCTAGGTTCAAAGTTTGGCTCTATCACTGTATGCAAGCTATGCGGTACTAGTTAATTTGGTTTCTCTTGAGCATCAGTTTCTAAACTGCAAAATGGAGGGATTTATATGACATAGAAAACTATATAAAATAACAGTCCGCATACAAAATATATAGAAATGCACCCTGACTGCCAATGTCCATATGCCAAGAGTCAATACTGTGTTGATGTTAAATCAATCTGGTCAGCTCCAGACTCTAACAGCTCAGAGCATCTTCCTTTTCAATTTCTTCCTCAGCAGGATAAGAAAACAAGTGTTTGAGAGAATTGGCAATAATGTAGAGGCACAGTTCTGAGAGGTTCTATGATGGATTACCACTTATTACTCAAATTCATTTCTTTAATATTTAACTGTTTCTTCTTCTTAATAAATTGAGCTCAGAGCCCTGGGCATGCTAGGCAAGCATTCTACCAATGATTTATATCCCCAGCCCTAAAATTCATTTCTTAAATTAATGTTAGCTGCTTAAGCATTTCCTAAGCATTGCCATACTATTAGAAGAGGATTTGGGTATACTATGAAAACAAAGTACTTCTTCAGTTCTGACAGAAAGCAGATTGCTCAGAATTCCATCTCAGTAAAATGCTAAAGTGATTCTCTTCTCACATATTTTTCCCAATCTTAAAATATTTGCTGCACTGGCTAACACCCAATTTCTATGATTTTTATATCCATTTCAATGAATACTCATTAACTATCTACTATTTGCAGATACTGTGAGAAGCTGAAGACAGAGAAAAGCAATCTGTTTTCTAAGAGGGCGCTTGTTTCATGACAACTGGTAATAAGAGAGACAAAGGAGGCAAATGGCTATGAGGACTCTAGGAACTAAGAAAATGTCTTTTGGAGACGCAGAGCTTAGAGTCCTGAGCTGTGGAAGGAAGGTGACAGCCTTTCATGGTGTGGCAGAAAGTGTGTGCCACCACAGGCATGGCACAGAAGTGGAAAGTGGGGCTGGAGGGATGGCTCAGTGGTTAAAGCTGTCTGCTCTTCCATAGGTCCTGAGACCAATTCCCAACAACCACCTGTAATGAAATCTGGTGCCGTCTTCTGGCCTGCAGGGACTCAAGTAGGCAGAACACGGCATACATAATAAATAAATAAATAAATAAATAACTAAATCTTAAAAAAAAAAAAAAAAAAAAAAGTGGAAAGGCAGGGGGAAAGGCACAGGGGTGTTGAAGAAGTCAGTTTGGCTGGAGCTTAAGATGCTTCCAGATGAATGGACAATGAACTAAAAAAAGAAATTAACAGGCACTTAATTGGGGAGTTTTTGAAATTCTCATTTCCTCTTGTTTCTTTGTATAAAAACATTCCCATGCCCCCGGTTAATATGAGTCAGATCTCTGAAAATGTCCATGAAGACCATCTTAGCAAAGTATTCCTAGCCTTGGCAACAGAGTTTTCAATCTGCGGTTACCTTGGTCCCCAGATGACTTGTCAGCCTTCGAGGAGCAGAGTGTGTGCTGCTAGAACTCAAAACACTGGCTGTTTCATGATCCACTCGTGTAGCTGAACTCTAGAAATAAGCAAGTTACAGGCAGTATAATTTAGATTACAAATAACAGACAACTCCTAAGCTCTCACAGTTTAGAAAGGGCTCATTGAAATTCTACCAGGGAAAGAGTAAAAAGTAAATAATTGCAGTGTAACATAACCACAGCAGCACCACAGCAGAAGTCTGCATAAAATCCCAAAGGAAAACAGAGCGAGGCTATGACCCGCTGTAGACTGTGAAAACTGCATTCAATAATGATGAAGGCAGATTTAACGTGGACATAGGTTGGAGTGCATAATTACTGGGGGAGGGGAGCTTTAAAAGATGTTATAGTCAAGCTGTAGAGTTGCTGAACTTTAGGTGGCAGAATGGCAAATTCAGAATTATATTTTAAAAAACAAAGGACAGGATAGAAAAATTACAGGTGACTAAGAGGTTAGAACAGATTTTAGATATAAACCAAATTCATGGCCCTTATCTACACTCAAAGTCAAATAAAATATGATAAACACATTTATGAAACAATAGCATCTGGAAACAATAGCATCTGGGTAGGTGGTGATGCATGCCTATGCTCCCAAACCAAGAAGGCAGTGAGTTCAAGACCAGCCTAGTCTACTGAGTGAGTTCCGAGACAGCCAGAGCTGTTCACAGAGAAACCCTGTTTCAAAAAACCAAACCAAACCAAACCAAACCAAACCAAAAAAGTCAAATGAATCATGATAGGCTACCCAATGCTATGACGGAACCATTTGATTCTTTGGGGAATATAATAATGACATCAGACATGCATTTTGAAAAGCAATCTTAGCTTGGAAATGGACAGTAAAATATTTATGGGACAAATGATGGAATATTCTTCAGAAAGAAAATGGGTAGTTAAAGTGGGTGTGGTCTATATGGATCTATTACTCTGCCTTTGAGCCATCTAGAATTGCCCACCCCTGTCTTTTTCCAATAGTCCTTCCTTCCCAACTTGTATTTGAACTTCATCATTACCTACAGGTGTTATCAAAGACCTTCAAACAGACAAGCTGAGACCCCATTAAGGAAGGGATTCTATATAAACAACCAGGGACTAGGCCAAGTAATTTACTTCTAGCCTTTCCTACCACTTAACTTTCTGAGGAAATAAACACAGATCAAGAAATACTCTCCCAAGAAATACTCTCCCACAGATGAGATAGATGGAAGCAGCTCCCCATTCCCTGCCACCCTATACCCTGTACCCTGTACCCTTGACCAGGAGTACAGTTGGGAACAGATTTGGGAACTGGAAAAATACTTCAAGATGGAGCCATACCCAGACCTTGAGGCTTGAAGGGTTCTGGCCACCAGACTCAACCCAAAGGATAAACAAGTAGAGACTTGGTTCATCTAGTGTTCCTTGGAGGAGGATGCACCCTCACTTTGCTTGGCTACAGCAGTCTGCTTGCCATAACACCCTTCTGTGCTTCCCACAAAGCCCATTGCTTCCGGACACCCAGCTGCCAGCCTCATTCCCATGAATTCCTGGGAGTCCTCAACCAGCTGTAAGCACTGTTGCTGACTCTCCCATCCAGAGTTTGTATCCCCACAGAGCCACTCCCAACATGTAGTAAAAGCCCCCTGCTGACTCCTGATTGCACTGAACTCACCAAAGCACTAGAGGCTTTCCAGAGATTTGGGGATTCATCCGTCAACACGTGGGTGCCAAGATAGATAGCACTGGACAAAAATGGCATGGCAGGTGACAAATCATGCAGAGTATGAGTTTCTAATGGGGTCTCCGTAGATCCTGCAGGGCCACACCCCACAGGGTCCCATCTCAATGATTTCTGTCTCTCCCGGCTGGGTTGTAGCTCCAATTCTTTTAACCCTACCCACCCCAAGGTTGCCTGCACTCTAGGCTGGCTATCAACTCAATATGTTCTTGCCTCCAATTCCCAAGGGCTGGGTACAGGTCTCTATAAGAGTATTTTCTTGTTTTATTTGATTTTTTTTTTTTCCTGCCTACTAGTTCTTCTCAAATTGTTTCTTATGGACCTGTTTCTGGTTTTAGATCTGGAAGTGGCAGATTGATGAAATTATTGATAAATAAAATGACTTAAAAACAAAAAGAAAAACAAGAAATATTCTTCCTAACAAGGATATCAGTTCTCCTTTACAACCACTAGTCATCACTCAAATATTTAACCGTCAACTATTTACCAGGGATGTGGTACATAAACATGAACTAGATAGAAATTTATTTGTTTGTTTTTTTGTTTTGAGACAGGGTTTCAGTTTGTAGCTCTGGCTGTCCTGGAACTCACAGATATCGCTGTCTGCCTCATTTCCCACCACTGACTGGCAGATCTTGACTTTTTAAAGGTGAAGCTCCTCCCTAAAGACTACCTTTCATAGATGTTATACAAGCTGATAAGGAAGAGAGCAACCAGTAGTTGCTGTGATGCCTATGAACTATAACAAAACCCAGCATAGTAAGGGAGCTAGGAGGTGGTGGTGCATACCTTTAATCCTAGCACTCAGAAGGCAGAGGGAGGGGATCTCTATGAGTTCAAGACCAGTCTTGTCTACAGAGTGAGTTTCAGGACAGCCAGAGATACACAGAGGAAAAACAAAACACAACAAAAGATAGCCCTAAGGGTGCACAGTGGCACTCATGGCTTGGTGGTAACCAACAGTTGCCTAACTGGACTTAATTAAGGCTTACTAAACAGGAGGGAAATGAAATCATGCTTGGAACTGGAAACCTACCAGCTACCCAGGGCAAGAGAGATCCTGGCTCTTAAAGGAGACTATCTATTACCAATAATTTGTTAAACCAGCATACTTCCTAACTGAACTCTAGATACTCATTCTCACACCTGCAGATCAGTGTCCCTCATCCTTCATCAAAGAAGCTTTTCTTTGAAATAGATGAAGACCATTTCAAAACAGTCAAAATGCCCAGAAAAACTGATTGTGTGGTGCTAGCTCCAGCAGATACATCTAAAATACAACTCTTGTCTCTAAAGCACGAGGAACACCTAGAAGAGGGACCGAAAAATTGTAAAAGCCAGAGGACCAGGATATCTGTTGTGACACTGTGTCTCTTAGAAATGAGAGGGAAGCTTCAGTCATGATTCACACTATGGCTGCCTAAATGAGATCTGAGCAAGGACAACATGAATAGACATGCTAGTGTGGAAGGGGTATAGCTAATGGGTGGGGCGAGGAGGAGGCGTGCCTAGATAAAGAACTACAGTCAACTAAAAATGCTGACCGCAAGAATAAGTCTCAGGGATGAGTTCCTTAACTGGTTATCTAATACCAAGTGGTCAGCCCTGCAGTCATGTACATTCAAGCAACGCTAAACAGACTGAGCAGGTTCTGTTTATACACTTATGTGTTATATATGCATATATATGTAATAATAACAAGAAAAAGAGGTCATGACAGGCACAGATAGTTGAATTCTGGAGGATCTGAAAGGTGGAAATCAAAGAGGGAAAATGATATAATTATATTTTAATTTTAAAAAGGTAAAAATGAAAATAATTTCACCTGTAGATATTTTAATTAAATAATTAAATTTACATGTATGGGTATGTTGTGAAATATTAGTTTAAGATGTGTTATATTTGCTTATGCTGTGGAATATTTGTTTAATGATACAAAGATGGGTTGCATTCTTTTATGTTACAATTGTTTAACTCTGTAAAGCTATGTTATTCTGCCTGCTTAAAACACCTGATTGGTCTAGCAAAGGGCTGAACAGCCAATAGCTAGGCAGGATAGAGAAACAGACAGGGCTGACAGGCAGAGAGAATAAATAAGAGGAGAAATCTAGGAGAGAGAGAGAGAGGACCAAGAAAAGGAGAGAGAGGAGAATGCCAGGGTCTAGCCACCCAGCTGCCCAGCCAGCCATGAGTAAGAAGGGGAATAGGAATAAGATATATAGAATAAAGAAAGGTAGAAAGTCCAGAGGCAAAACATAGTTAAAGAGATACAGGATGATTTAAATTAGAAAAGCTGGCTAGAAACAAGCCAAGCTAAGGCCAGGCATCATAAGTAAGAACTTTGGAGCTTACTGGCAGACCCCCAAGAGTAAAAAGCAAAAACCAACCAACCAAACAACAACAACAACAACAACAACAAAACAAACCAACTGCATGAGTTTTTGTCTGCATGTGTTCCACGAGTGCTGGGTGTCCTTGGAAGGCAGAAGAGGACACTGGATCCCCTGGGAGATTGGCCAGTGCTGTTAACTGCTGAGCCATCTCTCCAGCACCTGGCTGTGACTTCTGTTGTCTGAGAATCTTGTTCAGAAGAACTGACATTCTTCTGAAACATACTGATCCTTCTTTTGTGGTTTTCCCACCCACTCCACCATAAAAATTTCCTTCTAATCTTTTTATATTTTCAACAGTCTCCATTTCTGACACTCAATATAATCAATTTAGGGTAGGTTTTTATGTAATATCAGAAAGATCTAATTAGTAAAGACAGCTCCTACCAGATGAGTAATACCTTTAAAGTACACAGTAATTGGAATACGATCTGAAGCCTGAACAACTAATTGTCAAATGAAACTGAGCTCTTCTTCCTTCTACACTGTAGGAAGAGGGTCTCAAAAACAGAGCTCAACCTTCTCTTTAATTCTCATTATTTTATCCTAATCACCATTAAACAATTTTTCTGTATAGTGCTAACTAGTGATTCAGAATGGAGTATCTGCTTTAGCTTAGTAAAAGCAAATACTTTAAGCTTTATATATTAATGAATTAATAGAATGGTCTCTTTTTTAAAGTATAAACAATACTATCAAAAGTAACCTAGAAAGACTAAACTAATCTTTTTTGTTGATAGTAGGAAAATTATCTTAAAAGTCAATTTAGTGAAATTTTATTTTTTAAATATTCATTTATAACATAAAAATGCCTGTTGGAAAAAATTTGAGAAATATAGGACACACCAATGAATGGAAAGCTATCATATTATTTCAATAAACCACTAAATGGAAATTGGTGGCAATTTGTACAGATGGTTAAAAAATAACACACAGTAACAGCTAAATATGATAAAAGATGATAAAAGTATATAGCTTATTGTTTATATGCATCAGATTTGCCTTTTCCAGAAAGTTTAGATTTATTTCTAGATTTGTGTCATCTTGAAGTACCTCAGAAAGTAAAAACTCTTAACAGCCTTTGTGATCATTACAAACCCAGAAACATGTTTGTGCTCAGAGCCTAGGAGTAAACAGAACCACGCCAATGCAGCCACCGTGTCAACAACATGGGACTAACCACTCTCCAAATCTATGACACCAGGCTCAGAGACCAACATAGAAACATGATTTGGAGTATAAGAATGTCCCAGCAAACACAGAAAGTGCATTTATATGCAATAAGGAGAAACAATAGTACTTAAGACCCTGAATGTGTGTAGAGACACACACTCTAAGGAAATGGACAGCACTGTGGGCCATTCCCATCATCACACTCCTGTTTTTTCATACCGAGTCAATCTGAAGTATGTCAGAACAGTTCGTACCTGGCCACTACCAGAAGTCGCCATGCTGCTTTCTGCCACTCCTTGACCTTCATGCTGCCGTTCAGCTTCATGGGAGGCAGCTTCATGCTTGCTCTGGGATGACCTCTGTTAACATGGAGTTAGCGTCATTATGCACACAATGGTGTATGCCTTTATAGCTCACAGCTTATTTCCTACTTCCAAACTCTTAACGAATCAATTATACAGGCCGACAAAAGCACAGAAGTGCACGCCACACTTCCAACCTCCAGCATGGCTTGCACGCGAGTGATGACTACCCAGTAAGAGGGGAGGGAAGCGTTCCCCTGAGCATTTGAGCTGCATAAGACAAAGGATCGTCTGAGGCCCCTCCAGAAACACCATCCTCCAACAGATGTGCTCCTCTCACCATCAGGAATACAATCCGATTAGAGGAAATAACTGTCCCTTTCTGCAAGGTCACATGATTGTGGCATTTAATGGAACTGCAAATACGGCAGTTAAACAAATACCTAAGCCTACAAATAGCTCCTGTGTAGGCTATTTTTACAGAGAATATGTGTACATTTCCTACTAATGTCATGTGAAGCCAAATGACCAGCTCTTTGAAATGATAAATAAAACAGAAAACTCTGCTAATGTAGCCACCATCTGTTGTATGAAATAAAAGTGGCACATTATACCCAATAAACATAGTCATTTCAAAACAGATAATAAAGTGGTTGCTTTTGTAAAACAGCATCACAGATTAAAGAAATAAAATAATCTACCACCATCTTTTACAGAAATTCTTACTTGCTTGCTTTCGGAAAATGCTACTCTAATATAAACACTATGCTTTAGAGATCATGATAGTTTAAAATTCCAGAGAATTTTAAGCCTTCCTAGACTACTTAAAAATATGACTTAAAAAATAACTTTACATGTACCTTTTTCATCATAAACTAGGAACAGTTCTAGCTAAGCAGAAGAGAAGCAACTTAGTAATTCAGAAGCAGAAGACCAAAATCAACCAGAGTAGAAATACAGTCAGCCTACGACAAAACAAGTCAAAAACGATGGTGACCACAAAGACATGGCAGTAATGCACGTGAAAATGTCAATGTCGTTGCAGAACCAAACATTACTATCTGCTTGTCCTAGACACTGGGGAGTACAGTGCTACTAAAACTAGCCACTGTTCAATCTGCTTTCTGAGCTAAGTCTAGTTGGACAGACACACTGTCAAATAATGAAAGCAGCCACAATAGAGTCAGCACTTTGACAAGTGCTATAAAGGAAAGCTGTGAGCTGGAGGAAAGCTGTGAGCTGGAGGAAGGGTAGCATAGCAGGGCTTTCAGGCTGTGCCACTGGAACTAAGAGCCGACAACAAGGAGAAGGCACAGTCTAGGTAGGTCAGGATCACATGCAGATGAGCTGGAGCAGGAGAAGTGTGACCTCTTGTGACGTATCAAAAGCTTACAATATTGCTGAAGTACCACAAGTCATTGGTGAGCAGAATTAAAGTGGGTATGAGCACTGGCTTCCAGAGGACAAGTCACAGTTTCAGCATCCACATGGCGGCTTAGGGCTGTCTGTAACTCTAGGTCTAGGGGATCTGATGACCTCTTCTGACTTCCATTGACACCAGACACACATGTGGTGCACAGATACACAAGCAGGCAAAGACACTCATGTACATGAAATAATTTAAGCTGGGTGTTGGTGTCACATGCCTTTAATCCCAGAACTCGGGAGGCAGAGGCTGTCAGATCTCTGTGCTTTCCAGGCCAGCTTGGTGTACAAAGCAAGTTCCAGGATAGCCAGGCTACACAGAGAAACCTTTTTTCAAAAAACCAAAACCAAATTTAATTGTTTTTTTTTTTAATTACTATTTTGTTGGATTTGCCTTTTCTAAGTTATTCTGAGGCTACCACACGATTGTCTTCTCTTTATCTATTTATTTAGACAGCCTCATGTAACCTAGGCTGGTCTCAAACTTGCTTTGTAGCTGAGGATGCCTTGAACTTCTGATCCTCTTGTCTCTATCTCAAGAGTGCTGGGATAACAGGTATGTGCCACTATGCCTGTAAAAACCCTGTGTGGTGCTGGGGTGAAAGGCAGAGATCTGTGCATGAGAGGTCGGCACTCTACCAGCATGCCCATCTGCTGCCTCACATGGCCAACACCAACACTAACAAGTGTTTAGTGCCTTATGTAGTGGTTAGGAGGTTAACAGAGTGATGTTAGTAAGGAGGCTGATACTTCAAAAAAGTCGAGATATAAGATGTATCTTACATCTTATAGGGAAACATCTGAGGATTTGGTGCTAGACTAGTTATTGTGATGGTAATCTTGGTTAACTTGAAGGAACATACTCCTGGGTATGTATGAGAGGGTGTTTCCAAAGATGTTTAATAAAGAAGAAAGCCCACCCTGAATATAGGCATCACCATCCCCTGGGGGGCCTAACCCTGAGTACGAGGGCAAGGAGAAAGTGGGCAAACACTAGCCTGCACCTATTTTGTAACTGCAGGGGTAGTGTGTTTACCCACCCCAGAATCCTACCCCATGCCCTCCCAGCACCACAGGCTGTGTCCCTCAAATTGTGAGCCCAAAGGAGCCCCTTGTTTAACTTGTGAGGCAATTTTTCACAGCAATCAGAAAAGTAGCTTACACAGAAAGTGGCATGGGTAGGGCTGTTGCTGTGGCAACCCTGAACACATGGTAGCTAGGCTTTGAAACTGGTCTGTGGACTACAGAAACCCTAGATAAACCACTATAGACCAGTAGTTCTCAACCTTCCCAAAGCAGCAACCCTTTAATACAGTTCCTCATGTTGTAGTGATCCCCAACCATAAAATTATTTTTGTTGCGACTTCTAACTGTAACTTTTCTACTGTTAGGGATTGTAATATAAATATCTGTGCATTTCTGCTATCTGAGGCGACCCCTGTGAAAGGGTTGTTTGACTCCAAAGCTGCTGTCACACAGGTTGAGAGCCACTGCTAGGCAGGGCTTAATGAGGCGCTCTGTGAGATTGCTGCAGATGAGATTGCTCATAACTGTGCTCTCGGGTTTCACAGAGGAGCATAGACGGCAGCAACTGGGCTGGAGGCCAGCTGTGTTACATCTGGCAAAAACCCATGGCTATTTTTCACCATATCCTGAAAAAAAAAAAAGAGTGAGGCTTAATTCAAAGCTAACAGACTGAGTTGTCAGGCAGAGGAAATTTCAAGACAACGTAACACAGGCTGGAACATGGTTTCACACACTGCTCTTAGACTTACAGTGATAGATGAAAAATATGAAATCTCCCAAATGAAGGAGCAGGTGGAGAGTCTCAAGCTGGATTAAGGAGCAGTGCAAACAAATGTCCTAAATGATAGACAGGTACAGTCATAAAATTGACACTCTCTGCAGGAAAGGCGCCTTGCAGGTAAGCCTCCACCCACTGAAGGCTCCAGCCTTTAAAAGTATAAATTCACAAGGAAGGAGAAAAACTGAAATGAGAATGTCAGCGTGCTTGAAAACTACCATGGAAAGTGCTTCCCAGGTTCTGCTGCCAAGTTTACTGCAGATATGGTAAAAACTCGCCAGACTGCCCCTCACACTAGTGGTACAACTGGACAGGGCTGTGGTTTTGCAAGTATCCAATGTCAAGATTTATAGCTCAGGAAAACTTGCACAAAGAGTCTGGTAAGCTGCTGGGAAATTGTGGCTGAAGTAGAGTCCCTGCAAGGAGGCCCTTCGAGACCACGCCATGAGGCTGTGAAGGTAAAGCTTACACGGCAATAAATAGCTCAGTATTTTGGAGATGGCAGGGTTGTGAGATGTCCTGAGCATGTTGAACAGAGACAACCTAACAGAGGCTACATGCGGCAGGAGGAAGAGCTAGAGAGGCAGGGCAGCATTTGGAATCTGCAGGGCTGGACTTCCCGCTTACTTTGGGCTCATCATTCCTTGCTATCCTCCCAGCCCTTCATGTTGGAATGGAATGTTTGCTATGTAGCTGAGGTTGGGCCTTGAACTACTGATCCCCCTGACTCTGCCTTCTGATTGCTGGATAACAGGAGAGCATTACTGGCTTGGCAAACAAACAAACAAACAAATAAATAAAAGCATTTCTGCTTAAGCAATCAAGTGCCACAAAAAATCGTATCCATTAGGTGTTCAATTAAATGACTTAAATTAATTTAGCAAGCATCACTGTGATTTAGTTTTAGAATATTTTAGCATTACAATAAGCTTCTTCTAGTCCATCAATCAGTATTACTATGCCACCTTTTAAAAAGGTTACAGTTGTTATTTTTGTGCAGTTGAGGAAGTCCCCTAAGCCTCCAAAGAGAGTAGAGTTTTGAAGTGTTAGAACTGGTAAGACTATGGCGTGTTTAGAGCTGACTAAATGCACTTGTGTTATGAGGTGGCTGGCATCAGGGTGGAATCACTTAAGATACAGGGAACCCTCCTCTCAAAGTGACAGCACTACTTAGGAGCTGGGTCCTGGACTGAATGAAAAGGGGAGAAAGAAGAAAGCACAAAGCACCAGCAGTCCCCTCTCTCCTTCTGACTGCTCATGCAGTCAGACCAGTGGCTTCATGTCCTGCCCAGCAAGACGGACTGTACCCTCCTAACCTGCTTTCCCCTCTGAAGTTGTGTTGTGTCTGATATTTTGCGGCAGCAATGTAAAAAGAACCAACAATGGCTACGGGGTATGATCCTTAGCTCACACAATTTACAGATGAGAAGAAGGATGGGGACTGAAAAGGAGAAGGAGGCCTTTAACAGGGTTAAGGGGGCTTTTGTTGTTTTGCTTTGAGACACAGGGTCTCACTGCAGCCCTGGCTGGCCTGGAACTCACTATGTAGACCAGGCTGGCTTCAAACTCAGATTTGCCAGACCCTGCCTCCCGAGTTCTGAGATGTGCGCCACCACACTCAAATGTTATTTAGGTTTTTGATAAGTTGGACTTAAAATCTTTGAAAAATCCTCAGCGGTGATCCATGGTAGGAACATGAATTATGAATTAAGGATGTGGCACTCAGGACAAGAAAAATAAACTGAACAGCATAAAGATGGTACCTAAAACCTTAAAACATTAAGTAGATTGTCTAAGGAAGAAAAGATACAGAGATAGAAAGAATAAGCCCTAAGGACTGTCTGTGACTGATGGATGAGTAGTAAAGAAAAGTTTATAAAGGTCATAGAGCATCTACGAAGTCACACCATTGCTCTTCATTAAGTCGATTGTGTAAGAAGAGAAGATACACAGAAAGAAAGAATAAGCCCTAAGGACTGCCTGTGACTGATGCTCAGATGAAGAAAGAAGCTTCTCTTTCTGCCTGAGACCTTTCACTTCCCCACTGATGCCAGGCTGAACACCTGTCCTCAGTTACTCCTCTTCTGCATACAAGAGAGGCTGTCGACGATGCCTAGTAGGCCACAGTGTAGACAAGTGTGTACATCCCTATATTCCCTATAAGACAGAAACAGTTTCCTACCCTAGGTGATAGACTGACAAGAAAGTTTATTTTTTGAGGCAGGAGCTCATGTAGTTTAGGCTGGTCTTGAACTTGTTATGTAGCTGAGGCTCAGCCTTAAACTACTGATCCCCTTGCCTCTGCCTTCTGAGTGCTGGGTAACAGGAGAGCATTACTGGCCTGGCAAGCAAGCAAGCAAGCAAATAACAGTTTTGCTTAAGCAGCCGAGTACCATAAACTACAGCCATAAAGTGCTCAATTAAATTGATTTTCAATAAATGTACCAAACATCACCATAATCCAGTTTTAGAATATTTTTATCATTATAGTTAAGTTCTCTCCCGCTTAGTTATAGTTACTCCATATTACCACTCACAGCACCAGGCAGCAGCTGATCTGCTTTGTTCTCTTTGAGTTTGTTTGGGAGGGGCTTACTATGTTGCCCAGGCTGGCTTTGAAGCTCTCAGTTTCCCCTGCCTCTGCCAGCCAGGTGCTGGGATTACATAGGATTGCATGCACCTGTGGAGGCCCAAAGCTGACACTGGTTGTGTTCTGCGAGGTCACCCCTACTCTGCATAATGAGGCAGGGTCTCTCATGGGCCCTTGCTCTGGGGAACCCATATATCTGAGGCTTTTATGTGGACTCCAGCTGCCTAACCCAGGTCCTCACAATTGCATGGCAAGTGTTTTGTCCACTACGCCATTTCCCCAGTCTCCCGAGAATTTTATAAATGGACTTCTGTGGTTTATTTTACTTCAATTTCAAAAGTCATCTACATTATATTTATAGTACCCAATTTTAAGTGCAGTGCATAACAGTATCACATTTGTACTGTTTCTCCTGTAGGGCTACAATATAGTTGCTAGAATACCCAACTTAAAATCTTTATGTAGTTATTATTACGTCGTTTCTTTTAGACCCCTGGGAATGGGATTGCTGGGTTATATGGCAATTTTACATTTAATGTTTTGAGGAACTGCCAGTATATCGGGTGTACTATTTTATATCCTCAAATACAAATCAAAATCCACAAGTCTGCAACCCCAAATAAGCTTGCAACGGAGCTAGAAATGAGGGGTTACAAGCCCGATCCCAAAGAGGAAGCATATGACAGACATTTTCACCTCCCACCACCTCCCCTCATCTCTGGACTTTGCAATGTATCTTCCATTTGGCTTCTGTCATGGCCCCTTACAATAAAAGTAGACTCATTTAAGTATAGAGCTTTTAGTGAGTTCTTAGCATTCTGGATGTTTGGAAAGGCCTGAATTTCTTTTTTGTCTTTTTTTGGTTTTTAGAGACAAGGTTTCTCTGTAACAGTTCTGGCTGCCCTGGAACTAGCTCTGTAGATCAGACTAGCCTCCAACTCATAACCCGGCTGCTTCTAACTCCTGAATGCTGGGACTAAAGGCATGTGTCACCACCTCCTGGCTTAGGCCTGGATTTCTAAACTGCTAGACACTAAGTGCACTAAATATGGATAGTTTCAGACCCAAAATGACTGGTGTGATTGACAGTGAATTTCAAACGTCAGTTTGAGCTCTAGAGTTGCCTGGAGGGATTACATTTATCAAACTTATTGAGTTGGGAAGACCTCTAATTCTATAATCTTTCTTACCAGAACCTTCTTAAACATCTAGTCATCATTAGTGTCTATGCATACTGAAGAGTGGGTTGCTACGAAGAAGTTAAATGAAGTTTGCCAGCTACAGTGGTCACAGAATGGGCTAGCTATGCTTCTTAAGAGAAGAGTATGTTGTTTCCAGAAGTGTGCCTACAGAAGACAAGACTGGAGGGCAGCAGTAGTTTCACCACTAAGTAAATTTTCAACTGATTCAGCTTTTCATACAGTATTTCCAACATCAATTATACTAGTTTTACTGTAATCTATTCAAAGATTCTTATCCGTGGGAGAATGGGGGGGGGACTTATTTTCTGTTAGGATTGAAAAGGGGAACAGCAAGCAGTTGTGCTGAGATGTGGAACAGTTTGGGGAGCTCACCTGCTTTTTTAAACTTTAGCTGTATGGGTGCTTTGCATTCATGTATGTATAGAGTACCATAGATTGGAGGTGGCTCATGACTTTAATCCCAGAACTTGGGAGGCAGAGGGAGGTGAATCTCCTTGAATTCGAGGCCAGCCTGGTCTACAGAGTGAGTTCCAGGATGACCAGGGATACACAAAGAAACCTTGCCTCAAAAAAAATCAAAACACAAAACCAAACCCCCAAACAACAAAAGAATGTAAGTGCACCAAGAGCAAGCCGGCTACCAATGGAGGCCAGGAGGGGGCATCCGATCCCCTAGAACTGGAGTTACAGATGGTTGTGAGCAGGTGCTGGGAATCTGACCTGGTTCTTCTGGAAGAGCAGCCAGCTCTAACGGCCGAGCCATCACACCATCTCCCTCACCTGTTTCTAAACAGACCTTCAACTCACCTGCTTTCAGCTCCCTTTAATACTTATATTCACAGGTGGCCTGAACAGTGACCCTGCAATATGAATATGCACCAGGCAGTGTCAGGGCTCTCTCATCCTCATGACACACTGTGACAGTTCAGTCTGGGAGCTCTTCCAGAGCCTCCATTCTTATTCCTGTCACTTCCCGTACTGTTCGTGCTGTTGTCATTTATTGCTTTTATTGTCATCTCAAAAAGAAGTATGCGATAACCACAAGTAATGATGTTTGGTCAATTTTCTTACTATGAATTATACATAAGAAAAACCCATTTACAGGGTAATGATAGTCCAAGTCGGTGATTTCATTTACAAACTGACAGCTGACACTAAAGTGACTAAATTTTAAATGCTGAAAGGTGCAAAATGTTTCGGAGCTGGGGAGATGGCAGTTAAGAGTATTGGCTTCTCTTCCAGAAAACCTGGGTTCAATTCCCAGTACCCGCATGGCAGCTCACAACTGTAACTCTAGTTCCAGGGGATCTGAAAACCCAATGCACGCACACACACACACAAAATCAATCTTTAAAAAAGTCTCTCTCTAGAAGGTCCACATCTCAACCATGTCACATTTTAATTACATGAATTTTCTTCTCTGGAAAGAGCTGTATATATCGACACCAACACATAAACAAAAGGGCAGTTTACCAACCTCTGCTTCAGCTGCTTGGGACTGTAAAAGCTGTCGTACACGAAGTATGTCCTTTTCTATCTGCTGAATTCTGGCTATTCTTCTCTAAAATAAAAGAAGAGAACAAGTCAGATATTAATTTATGTGTCTGTGTGTACACATATATGTGGGTACCTGTGGAGCTCTCTGACATGGGTGCTGGGAATCAAACTTGAGTCCTCTCCAAGAGCAGGAAGTTCCTTTAACCATAGAGTCATTTCTCCAGCACTAAGAATTCACTTTAAATAAGAGTACAAAGAACAGATCTGGCAAACTGCAGAGACAGCAGTGGGCACAGCCATGAAGGGTAGTTTGCCTTTATTTTTGCAATTATACACATAGGTGGGGGCATGTGCACATGCATCGGGACCCCTGGAACTGGAGTTACAGGTGGCTGTGAGCTGTGTGATGTGGGTGTTGAAACTGAACTTGGGTCTTCTGCAAGAGCAGTATGTACCCTTAACTAAAAGTCCATCTCTCCAGCACTAATACCTTTATGAAGAACGTTAGTGTAAATAATCTTTACAGCTACCACCTATCAGCTTAGGGTTATACCAAAACATTTTTATGTACACAGTTACACATGTAACATATTCACAGATTAGTGACTACTGGGGTTAGTTTGGGATTTTAAATCTATTGGATTTTGGATAATAGATCTCTAAGTATGTCTAGTAAAACTTCAAAAATACATTATACATAAATTGTGTGGTAGATGTACTATGAAAATTGGCATTTAAGTTATTTTCAAGAGCAAATGATAGAGCACAACTTAGATGAATGTGGTGCCCTAGGTTGTCACTCCCAAAGTTATTCTTAAAACTATTTCAAGGAACAGAAAGAATTATACTTGAACTTAATCTTTTTTTGAGACAGGGTCTTTTCCTCTGTAGCCCAGGCTGACCTTGAACTTAACATAGTCCCATTTTAGACTGCTAAGTGCTAGCTATGAGCCACCATGCCATTGTTGTTTAATCTAACCTACTATACTAACTTTGAATTTATACTCTGGCTGGCTAGTCTTAGGTAAATGACTAGAGTCATTTGAGGAGGGAACCTCAACTGAGAAAATGCCTCCTTAAGATGTGCTGTAGGTAGTCCTGTAATAAATTTTCTTAATATTCGATTGCTGGGGGAGGCCCAGTCCACTGTGGTGGTACTACTACCCTTGGGCAGGTGTTTTATAAGAAAACAGGCTGGGCAAGCCAGGGGAATCAAGCCAGGAAACACTCCTCCATGGCCGCTGCACCTGCTCCTTCCTTGGCTTGGGATGAGTAAACAAATAAACACTTTCCTCCCCAAGTTGCTTCTGGTCATGGTGTTTCATCACAGAAATCATAACCCTAAGACCCATAAAGCTAACAGGTTTACATAAACCACAGCATAGCAGTAAAAGAAAAATCTGATTTGTTTTACATCAGAGTTTATTTAAATTTACTCCTGATATAATTCAGTATTTTTAGGACTTTCCTAAAGTACCTACTACAACTAAACAGTCACCTTATCTAGCCCACTTAGCCTAGAGCATGCTGTGTGGTTGAGGGTATTCCTCTGGCCTCTGCTTTCCAAGTGAATAATGCTTTTATTTGCAATACAAGGACTGAAGGACCATAACGATGGTAGTTTTGCATTCATACTGTGAAGAAACTGTCGAACCACAGCATGCTCACTTATATATTATCTGTGGTTGCTTTCTGTATTCCGCTTTTTTTTTTTTTTTTTGAGATGATCTTACTGTGAAATTCTGGCTGGCCAGGAATTCAGCCCCACCTGCTTCTGCCTCCCCAACGCTGGGATTAACGGTGAGAGCAACACGAGGTTAGAAGCAGGCTCTATTACAACCCATTGGGCACCTTTCTAGCCTTTGCTAACATTCTATGGAACCAGATGTCACTGAAAAAGTCAGTGTAAGTAAATAATCAAACAGACATATTTTACAAAGGTAAGGGCAGAAATAGTTATTTCTACATGTTATACTGGACATTTCCATCCTTTAAACACACAGTTGGCCAACCCTCTGTCCATTTAAAAACAAGGGCTGTCTTCAAGAATTAATCCTCTTATTTTAAGGATATTAACTGGGTTTTTTTATATGGTTGAAAATATTTTCCTTTTTATTCCTGTAGGACAGAATTTTACTCAAATAACCTCTATTGCTTTTGAGTTTCCATGACTTCTTTGGTCTTTATTGTTGTTTTTCAAGACAGAGTTTCTCTGTATTTCCCAGAACCCTCTGCAGACCAGGCTGGCCTTGCACTCAGAGATTTACCTGCCTCTGCCTCCCCAGTGCTAGGATTAAAGGTGTGAGTCATCACCACCCAGAGAGTTTTCACTCTTAAGGCCTTGAATGTCTTACATTTTCTATTAATTTTAGCTCTTTTACACTAAGATTTAAGTACTAGAATTTTTCACAGCTATTAAAGAACATTTTTTTTACTCACATCTGAGTCCCTTTTTGAGACAGCGTTGGCCTCCAACTCGACCTTCCTGCTTCCTCCCGAGTACTGGGTTCTAAGTGTGTGCCACAAAGCCTGGACTAAGCTGACTATTTTGGTGTCTGCTGTCTTGTTTTCACCTCCTGTGCAGTCACTCACGGTGCTGTACAGTACAGGAATTTTCTCAGATATGTTACAAACATTTCCATAACGCGTCTTCTTCTTCCCATGATACAGTTCAACTCATATATTTTAAACAGATAAAAACTGTTGTGTGTTCGAGGACTATAAGATGAATCCAGAACATTAATGCTATAGAAAATGAAGATCGCTTAGACTGAGGAAGGCAGGGGAGGGGGCTGTATCCCTGTATCCACACCCTTTTTAGAGGAGCTCGTGCAGAGGAAGTGATTCTCTGTGAACCCTGCACTGTGCTAGCTCTGATGCACTCTTGGGGCCACCATTAACTCCACTGTCACTTTCTGTCACAGCTCTTACAGAGAGGAGTGCTCTGGGTATTGAGTACACTTTACTTTAGAACTATGTCATCTTGCACTGCTGTCACTTACAGGCCCACCCTTCCATTAGCATCTTTTCATCTTGTTTGTAGTTTTAAAACGTAATCTTCATATGCTTATTCCTAAGGGGAAAATGTCTGCTGTGTGCATTATCAAGATATGAAATTAAGTTTCCTGAAATATTAATGAGATATGCCATATCCAGAGTGACGCAAGACCCACCGCACATATTTTAACAAAATAGCCAAAAAGAAGTCACGTTAATCTCTCTTCTGGGATACAGATCAGAAACCTTGGGATGTATCTATTTATATCTGCATATAATAAGCATTTTTATGTCTGTTATGATATCATGTTCTCAAGTATCTCTAAAAACAGGAACAGAAAAAAAAATGTAACTCATAGCTACAGTCCAAAAATGAAAATTTATATAAAACTAATGAATATTTCTCATAGTTTTTTTTAATGGAAACAAGTCCACTTTACATTTAAAAAAATAATTGGATGGAAATCTCAAATTTAAATATAAAATATATTTTTGGAAACTGTAGGTTCTCGATTTTGAGTCTTAGTTCTAACACTATCTTTTTCTAGTTCGTAACATGCTTGTCTTAATTTGAATCAGTAAAATTCATCAGCCTTATATTTTTATAATCTCATCTTGTTTAAGAAATTCTTTTCTATGCAGTATCAGAGGTATGTTTATGTATATTTTCAACCAAAAGACAAAAGTTTTATTTTTGACATTTAAGTCACTAATCTATCTGAATGGAATGCAGGCAGAAAGGCAAGTACTATATATACTAACTGTACTCTGATAACGGACAGTTAAATACATACATGCATATGTATGTGCACATAAACTAGTTATCTCTCCAACTAGTTGTAAAACTAATCAACTATGAAATGTGTCATGTTATAAGTGTTAAATATTACTTCACAGATAACAATATTCTAACATAATAATCCCACCCCTAACCACGGAGTCATTTGCAGCTGTAGTTGCAGGGAGAGGAACACTGGGTACATCAGTCTCACCCCAGGGCAAGCCACATGACAGCACGAAATGGGCTCCGTGGTTTCATTTTTCCCCCTTTTAGTTTTATTTTTATTTTAAGAGAGAGAGAGAATATGAAGTGGATCTTGGAGGAGTTGAAGGAGGGGAAAGGATACACTGTATGAAAAAAACTTCAAAAGAATACATGTATTTATACCACTATACAAAATATAAATATTAATTTGTCCTATTAGTTGCTATTTAAATATAATCTTTGAATGTCCTTTCAAAGTGTCTTAAAATTTTTTTAGAAAAGCAAAAATAAAACACTCCCCCTGCTCACTCTGGAGCAGACGAGGCATCATGAAAGCCCCTACAGGGCTACAACACTAGGCAGTCACACATCTGTGTGCACATGGAAGTGCTCAACAGTGAACCAGTCCATGTTCCTGTGACCTTAGTGTGGTTTAATCTCACCCTTACCCCTCATGTTGTCCTCTGTTAGTTTCTCAAACACGGACTGCTGCTGCTTTTGTTTTTGTTTTTAAAAAAACTTCTGAATATTACCACATAAACTAAGATTACAAGAAATAATCATCTCAAAGCAGCTGAAGCTAGTTATTGGCTGCCAGGAAATCAGTATCTCCCTGTGATTCTATGCAGAACAAGTAATACCCAAATGAAATACGGCAGAGGCAGTTATGTTACTGCTGGTTATCATTTCCCACAGCCACGAGAAACTGTTATCTTGAAACAGCGCCGACACAAGACAGGCTTTGAAGCTTCTCGTGATGGTGCTGACAGCCCTGTACATGTGAGGCAAGTGTCCTGTCACTGAGCCACACCCTGGCCACACAGACTGCAATAATGGAGCGAAGCAACATTATCAGAGCTGTGACGTGTGCGGAGTGGGAGTACACCATTCACCTGTGCTCGCTTCTCCATGTCCTGGCAGGTGCCCAGCTGCTCCTCCATTGCAGCCCTGATTTGCCTTGCTTCATATTCCAGTTGCCTTCTTGTCATATCTGTTTGTAAGGAAAACTAAAGCCACAAATAACATATTAAATTATCACTGTTTATTAGTAAAACTAAAAAGCACACAAATGTCCATTTAAAAGGTGGTGCCACACACATTTAATCCCATCACTTGGGAAGCAGAGGCAGGTGGGTCTTTGTGAGTTAGAGGCCAGGGTGGTCTATAGAGCGAGTGCCAGGACAGGCTCTAAAGCAATACAGAGAACCTGTCTCGAAAAAAACAAGCAAACAAACAAAACAAAACCAAATAAACAAAAATTGAGTAAGTAACTATGGAAGTGATCATACTTAAGAAATCTATTTTTTTCTCTAAGGAATCCTAAATCCTGAGTATGGGCACCAGGTTTGGCTGACATCCCTAATGAGATTCAGAGCTGCCTCAAAGTAAAAAAAAAAAAAAAAAAAAAAAAAAAAAAAAAAAAAAACCGGCTTTAACTTAGATTGTTTTGTTGAAAATATGGTTCAGTTAAGGTGGGCCTAACTTCTGTCCCCTTCTGATTCTTTATCTGCTGAAGGGGCACCTGTTAGCTGACGTTTGGGGTGCTAGGGGTCAATTAAACTCTTTGTGTGTGTGTGTGTGTGTATACATGCCACATAAACCTAGGTGCGCTGGCACACACCTGTAAACCCAGCCCGTAGGCAATAGAGGCAAAGAGGATTAGAGGTTCAAGGTCATCCTTGGCTGCAGGAGGAGCTCAAAGAACTCAGCTGGAGGAGCTCAAAGAACTCAGCTGCATGAGACTGTCTCAAACAAAACAAAACTAGTATATTAACATGGACATCATGGGGAGAATAAAAAACAGGTGTGCATTACCCTTACCTCATGTGTATAGGCTAAATAGAGAAAAAAAAAATTCCATTTTTAGAATGAAGAAAATGGAGTAAAAAAAAAAAAAGCCTGTATCTAAAATAAACATTAATAGCCAGACAAAATCAGCAGTGACTTTGGAAGCACTTCACAAAATGGGTGTTAAGCCATCACTGTTCCTTGGGTCCTCACACTGAGATAAGTGCCAGTGATACAGAAGGATAAAAAGGAGGAAGAATATGAAGTGATAAAACAAAGTTAGCAGAGACATTAAGAGTCATGGGGAGAATGAAGAAAGGCTCTACGACTGTTCACACTCCTCATGCTGCTTATAGGGAACAGCTCCTGATGTGTCAAGTTGCCCCTAAACAAAATACTCATGTGCAGTATTCTTGTAGGCACACCAAATTTAGGAACACACTGACAGATAAAACAAACGGTCTGCATGTTATTTATTCATTTAGAGACAAGGTCTCACTATGTAGCCTTGGCTGGCTGAAGCCACTACATAGACCAGGCTAGACTTGAACCTGCCTACCTCTGTCTTCCCAGTATGGGGCTTTTGGGACTAAAGGCAGCACCACCATGCTCCACTGAGTGTCATTTCTTACTCTCTTTGAGTATACATTGTTATTTCTCATTTGTTCTCCATTTCCCAACCATCCCCGCAAAAACAAAAATGCTGAATGTGACATAGCATGAGTTGGTAAGTGCTATGATAATTTGATAATCAAATAAATATTTCCACATGGAAGTGCTTGTTAACTTGTTTTCCCAATAAGAAAGCAAAGTATAGTAAATGATTATAAAATACAAGCAAGTTTAAATTTACTAATGTTACTAATGGCCCATATGATTGAGTATTCTTGTGTATTTATTTGGCAACTGGTCTTTATTTCTTATAGTAACCCACTACTATTGAGTTATGAAACATACCAAAGCCCTTCCTCGACCCTGACTTTATGGAGACAACAGGGCTCTGGATTTTGTATATTCTCCAGTCATAGTCACTGATAATAAAACCATGCTGTGCTGTTTTTATTCACGTTTTAAAATCTCACCAAACCCTTCTGGAGCCCTTATCTTCATTCATCAGAGACACCCCAGTAGCTGCCTTTCCCTGTTTATGATGTCTTAGTGGCCAGGAGAGTCCGGAGGAATCTGCAGGGCGAGGGGCCCTTACCTTCTTCCCAAGACCCTTGCTGCTCTGGGAAAGTGAGCACTTGAAGCCTGGAGTTCTAGCTCAGGTGCTCAGGAGCCCAGTTAACTACACTCTGGAAGGCTTCTCTTCCTTTCACTTTCACATTTTGCCTACTATGTCCTCTCAAAACTACTATGAGAAAGAGAAAGCTGAGGCTAAGAATGCAGGTTATACTGGCAATCTCTTACTGCAGCCCAGGCTGGCCCTGGCTTCATGACCATCCCTCAGGGTCGGCAGCCCAGAATACTGTGGGTCTGAGCACGAGCCACACACCTGCCTTATTTCCCTTTTTAAATATCACATAAAATATTGATGAAATATATAGCCTTTAGATTCCTAATTTGTTTCAGAAGCTTTCTTTTTTCTTTTATTTTTTAGACAGAACCAAGTGTATCCCAGCCTGGCCTCAAACTACTATATAGCTGAGGATGAACTTCAATTTATTTTTTTTTAAAAGACCATTTTTATTTTATGTGTACGACTGTTTTACCTGAATATGTGTGTGTGTGTGTGTGTGTGTGTGTGTGTGTGTGTGTGTGTGTGTCTGTCTATCTATCTATCATGTGTGTCTGGTGCCCACAAAGGCCAGAAGAGGGTCTCTGAGGACTGGAGTTACAGACAGTTGTGAGTTTCCATGTGGGTGCTGGGAAGCAAACCCAGGTCCTCTGAAGAGCAGTGAGTGCTCCTAACTGCTAAGCCACCTCTCTAGCTCTAAGACTTTGATTTGTCTCAAATCCCCGAATGTTAAGATTACACGTGGAGAACAGAGAAAGGCCTGAGCATGTGAAGTCGAGTAATTTTGTGTTCTTAATGTGGGCATGGCTATGTCAAGTACCCCACAGACTCAGACCCATGGGAGACGGCAACACCTTCCCTCCTGGTCTGAGTAACAAGGCCCACCATAGTTGTCTCCCTCTGGATGTTTGTAGCCTGATATTTATGGTTTGGAGACTGCTCCCCTACAGAAACTGCTCCTACTAGACCTGCCTCCCTTTTTAATCTATGTGGAGTGACTCCATCTCCTTGTTTAACACTATACAGTAAACATGCTGAGCTTCCACAGTGCTGTTCCCCATCAGAGCTCAGTCCACCATTTCTGTGTTCATGTGTGTTTGTCTTTTCTCCATTCCCTCCACTGCCTCAGTCAGGCCATCTCTGGAGTTATGCTGGACACAGCCATTACAGGTATGCACTATCGTATCCAGTTTATGAGGTACCTGGAGTTGACCCAGAGCTATGTGCACGCTGAACAATAAAGGTGCATCCCAACTCTGAGAAACATCTTCAAATAGGCTATCCTGAATAAAAGTTAGCACAGTGAGGAACAAGCCTACAGGATTATTTTTTAACATTTACTATCTGTTGGTTTGTTCATGCTTACACGCATGCACGCACAAATGTGGAAGTCAGGAGACAATCTGTGGAAGTTAGTTTTCTCCTACCATCTGAGACCACCAGCTAGGCATAAGCCACTTTACCTGCTGAGCAATCTCACTGGCCTCCATTTTAAAATTTTAAACCAAAGTGTATTTGCTAAAGGGATTCTAGGATTCACAAAAACAGACTCATTATAGATATTGGCATTTATACCTAGATAGAGTAAAATTCAAATTATTTGCAAGGATATTTTAGTTGTAAAAACTATCTGGCATGATTCCTGTATTGTACAGAAAAACCAAGCAGATGGTATAATGTTTCTACCAATTAAAAATATAGTTGTCTATTGGAACCTGGATTCAAACTCTTGAGGGATTAAAATAAATATCTGTTGGTATACAATAAACTTTCATTTTTTATTAAAAACTAATTAACAGGCTAGTATGGTGATGTAAGCCTATAATCCCAGTACTTGGGAGGATCAGGCCTTCTTCAGCTCTATAGCAAGTCTGAAGTCAGCCTGGGCTACATAAGAGCCTGTGTCAAAACCAGAAACAAACCCCCACAAAAACAAATAAAACAAAAAAATACATACATACATACATACATACATACATATATATATATATGTTAATAGCTAGTTAAGACACATTATATTAATAGCTAATTAAGACCATTACAAATGCAGTTGTCTCAAATTCCTTATTAATAATCTGAGTACTTTTAAAGGTCATTACTCGGTCTCATCTGTGCTTCCATGGTACTTACGTTCTCAGTTAAAGGCAGGCTATCTATTCTTTTTGTGAGATTCTGAAGTTGAGCATAATACCAGTCCTTTTCCTTTTCTTCTTTGTCAAGATCAGCAAGGAGTAATGATCTATATTTAAAAGAAAGGTAAGTTTACACAAGCTACTGCATATCGCCTAAGGATAACTTTCCAGTTGTTACTGTAAAGACAGTAGTGAATGAGTGAGGAACTTACTGACTTGGATTTTGTAGTAGGACTTATGGTATTTTACTCACTGTACGGTTCTCAACCTGGCTAGTACCATGCTTCAACCAAGGGCTTTCTTTCACACAGTCTATGAGATAAGTGAAAGGTGTGGACAGAACAGGATCAAAGCCAGTATTAGAATAAACACTACACTAACAGAGTTAGGCCAGCAGCAATGACTCTGGGAAAAGGGAGAAGCCTGGAAACTGCAGTCTTGGACACTGGTGTCAGCGGCTGAGCAACAACACTGAATAAATGCATCACATCTGCAATCAGAGAAGCTGCTCTGTGGTACAGAAACTCAGCTTGGAATCTTAAAATGAATTTCTGTAATCCCTGAAGAACTAGTGCCACCACGCACCTCACCATTATAAATATAAACATACAACAAAATAGTGTTACTGAGTTAAAACTCAATAGGAATAAAAAGTACAAGTTCCTTATTGTTTTGTGTAGCTCTTTTCCCAAAGCAGTGTCTTGATGGGAGATGTCACTCTGTAAACATGTTTCTCATACTGGTTAATGAATAAAGCACTGTTGGCCAATAGGAAAGCAAGATAGGTGGGACTAGGAGAGAAGGAGGATTCGAGGAAGTGGTAGGAAGGAGTCAGCATGGGAAGACTAGAGAGAGAAGACACCAGCCCTACTCTCCGGTAAGATGAGACCACGTGGAAGTACTCAGATTAATAAAAATGGGTTAATAATTAAGACAGAGCTAGCCAGTAAAAAACAAGTAACAGGCCAATAGAATTATATCTAATACAGTGTCTTTGTGTGTTATTTAGGGCTGGCGCGGCGGTAGGACGGACCAGCAGGAAAAACCTTACTCCTAACAGTGTCTGTCATAATTTTCTTGTGTTGTTTCCAGAGGTTTTTATAAAGATACACATAATAATGCACATAATTACACATGTTTAAAAACATAAATACTCTACATTATTTCACTTTAAAAAAATCTATTTTGGCCAGGCGGTAGTGGCGCACGCCTTTAATCCCAGCACTCGGGAGGCAGAGACAGGTGGATCTCTGTGACCAGCCTGGTCTACAAGAGCAAGTTCTAGGACAGCCTCCAAAGTCACAGAGAAATGTCTCGAAAAACAAAACAAACAAACAAACAAACAAATCTATGTTGTGGGGTCACTGCTTATGAGAACGATCTACCATGTACTTTTGATGGCTGCCTAATATCCCAGGTATCTCACAGTATTGATGAAACCATATAGGAGATACACTATGGCAAGTTCTTTTCTGGAAGAGCACTTAGGGCCTTTTAAATACTTTGCTATTAACATAAATATTACATGAATGTCTTTATGTACTTCATTCCACACATGTTCAAGCATGTACACATGATAAACTCTGAGGGCACATTTTAACTTATTGTTCTAATAAGGTATTAAATCAATTGTACAACCTATAATTTTCATGAATTTAAGTTTATGGCACATTTGTGTGTGTGTGTGTGTGTGTGTGTGTGTGTGTGTGTGTGTGTGTGTGTGGTTTTTGGAGACATGGTTTCTCTGTGTAACTGTCCTGGAACAGACTGTCTAAGAAGCTGGGAACAGAGCCTGGGTCCTCTGCAAAAGCACTAAGTGTTCTTAACAGCTGAACCATCTCTCCCAGGCCCTGAGTCTATATACAATCTTAATATTCAGTTTTCACAAGCACTGTATCAGTGTTTTACAAAAGAACTTGACACAAAATTTGTTGACTCACCTAAGGTCATAACGCTATTATCTAACATACATATTATCATTTAAATGTCTGACCTAACTTTTAGGTATAAAAAGATAAGGTACCTTCTGGGCATTAAGAGTCCTAAAATACTCATGCCAGGCATGGTGGTAGATGCCTTTAATCCCAGCATTCAGAGGCAGAGGTAGCTAGATCTCTGTGAGTTCCAGGACAGCCAGGGCTACACAGAGAAACCCTGTCTGGTGGGAGAGGAGGAAAAAAGTAGGAAACTAAAGATACTGAAACAGAAAATGCTCTAAGGAGCAGGCCATATCACCTGCCATCAAACCCTCCTCTGTATCTTACAAAACATCAAGCTGCTTCCATGTACATGCAGTACTTACTACACAGGAACAAACTTTACCTTTCTTTTTCAAGCTCTTCCAAATAGCCAGTACTTTCTCTGCTTCCATTTACAAATGCTCTTCTTGGAAACGACCCCATGGGAACAGGACTGCACTCTCCTGAGCGGCTTGATATTGATCCTTCCCGACTTCCATAGGAGCGGAGGGACATTTTTGAGCGTAGTTTCACTCCAGGGAAACTGCTATCTAAGTTAAATTCTAAGCAGAGACAAATTCTTATGTAGTAACTGCTTTAAATCATGTAAAATATTCCTAAAGCTATTACATTATTTTAAAAGTGAAGTCTTGGGTTTATATTTTAACTACAAACATACATGACTGTATAAACAATTATTTAGAATAGTTAAAAACTCCCTTACAAAGACAGCTTGAGTCATGAAGAAAACAAGTATGCTAAAGGAAATTACACAAAATGTCCAACCTTAGATTCTTTGATAGTAATATTTAGGAATTCAAAAGTAATTAGTCTAGTTTCAATTATTACTAAGCAGGGTCCCTGTCTGACACTGGAATTTCTAGGCAACAAAGTGAAAAAGACATTTTAAAACAGATGTGTAAGAAAAACCAGGCATCTCCAACCCAGATGGAACACAAACGATGATACCCTCGAATCTGCCTGCTAGGGGAGTCTTACGAGACACGGTACACCGAAGCATATTTAGTGACTGGCAGAATACAATGAATTTAAAAAATAGCCAACAACTTTCAAGGAGAAAACTTAAAATCATACATTGAAAACCAGTGACAGGAAGCAGCAGCAACAAGCAGACAGACCTTTTTATCTATTTGCGTTTAGCAGCCTCGACCCAGTGTGCAGATGGGAGGAGAAAGCTGAGCCACCGTTCAAATGAGAGCAGCTGAACTCCAATCAGCTGTCAAGCTGTCCTAAAACAGTGTTTTTAGACACTTAAAAAAACATACCTTTAAGACGCTCTAGTAAGTCAATCTGTCCAGAAGAAGTCATAGTTTCATCTTCAATACTTCCCTGTAGCTGTTTAAGTACTTCCTAGTGAAAAAAAGCACAGCGCATTAACATGAAATTCTAAATAACTTATTGAGTACACAAATCTGTATTTCTTGGCATTTAGATATGACCAGGGAGAAAGTTATTTCAGTTCAGGCTGACAACACACCATCAGCTATAATGTATATTAAGTGTACTACCTATTATTCATTGTTATATCCCAATAACAATAATGGTAGCATCTTGTGATAACTGTGATTGATCATGAGGGGTCTCCATGCAAGACAGTGGCACACTTAAAAGGATGGCATTGTGTGTGTGTGGGGGGGGAGCGTGTTATGGATCAAAAAAAGACATAATGAAACAAACCCATTATTTTGTACAATATAGGCTAATAAAACATCTGTTAATTTGTATAAGAGGTGGAATTATCATTTCGAATCAGCTGAAACATACAGACTTGCTTAAGCCACAAAGAAATAAATATAAAAGTGGCTGTTTAGAACCTGTGTCTCTTGAGCCACATCTGTAAGACCAGGCCACGCTCTGCTGTTTAGCAGCTTACTACCAAGTGCCAGCACACTTGAGCAGATTGTTAGGGCACTGACTTTCAGGCAGACTCCCGCAGCTGCCTCCTGCCCTTGATGTCACTGTCTTCTATCTCACCTAAACTACTTCTTCATAATTTTTTTTCAAAAAAATTTGAAAGTCATTTTCAATCCAATTTTTCTGTCCAGTACACCTTGTCTTTTATCTGTATTCCTTAGTAACTTAACTTATACTTCTCATATTGAAGTATGCCACTCTAGCTTCCAGCATGGCCTTTGTTTGGCCAATTTGATTTTGAAAATGCAGAAAAACCCATTGAATGCCTGTAACCCTGAAATTAAGGCAGTGTGATCAACCAAGGCCCTGAAATGGGATCTGTGGAAAAGTGGGAAACGTGGGAGGCAGTGGCACTGCTCTGCCTTCACCTCACCACCGAAAGCACAGAAAACAAATGACCTGTGGTCTTAGCATGCAACCTTCCGACAGACCATGGCGTTATTTGCAGGACTTGGGGAGGAAGGTAAAAGATATCATGTTGAAATCATCTACAGAGAATGTCACCACCATGATAATGAGACCATATTCACATGGGGACTCCTCCCTTCAGTGAGTGCAGAGCATGCCCAAATGGTTAACTGTCAACTTCAGGTCACTTCACCTCTTTCGTAATTTGAGATCGTCACTGTAGATGGCTCTAACTCTCCTTCCAGCCATGGCTACCACTTGTAGCAGTCTTTTAAACAATCTTATCATCTTATTGACAAGATGAACACAGCACATCATACACAAAAACAAAGTATGCAAAAAAGAGTATCACTGAACATGGTTGTATAGAATGACAAGAAAAAGCTTCTTTCTACCTCTGGGGATAGAATTCCAAAGTTAAATCAGTAGATGAGCTGGAGGTAAAGCTCAGTGGTAGACTGCTTACCTAGGACACACAAGGCCCTGGGGTTGAGTATTAGTTCCTCCCCAAATCCCTACACACACGAATTATTCTGATATTGCTTGCATTTCCTAATCTTAAAACTGGTTAATATTCACAACTTGTAATAAAATTAATTTTTTTAAGAATCTGAGGCAGGACTTACAATCTGAATTTGAATCCACATGGTAGAAAAAACTGACATGCACAAATTGTCCTCTGACTTCCATATGTACAATGAATGCATGCATACACACATGCATGCACATAGCAGGTAAATAACTGTGGACAGAAAGTCTCTGTGGCTGGGCACAGCTTAGCAACAGAATGCTTTTTGTAGAGAATGTGTGTCACAGTAGGCTTAATTCTCGGGGTCAATACCAAAGACTTTGTAATTCTATTAGAAATTTATTGATAAAAGCAGCAATATAAGTAAAACAAATGAAATTTAAGGATACATTTTTTTTTTAAGGTTTTAAGAGTAGCAATTCTAAAAAGTATCAGCTTGTGGTAATAAGTGCTTTGATTTATGAACTTCACTGAGCAAAGCTAGACATGTCAACTCACTCACATCCAGTTACTTTGCTTTAAGTTGACAACATCTAGCACGATTTACATTACTTTCAGTTTGCAATGGATAGTCTATGCCTACTTCCTAACAAAAATAACCTCAACAGTGTTTCTATTTTGAGGCAAAAGATGGAGGGCTGCTTTCTGAAGTTTCAGAGGAAGTTTACAGACTCTCAGGGCCATCTGTTAATCTGAATTCTGGGGTTCTCATTAGCTGGGACTCACAAGATCCCAGAACTACTGAAGTGGGACTGTTGCTGTTTAGCTGGGGCTCAGAAATTATTGGTGATTAAGAAAATCCCAGCAGGTGAAATCTTCTGGTAAGTGTTCCCTGAGAGTCAGAACATTTTTTATTGTAGATATAATTCTCTACCAAAAATCTATAGCATTTCTGGCATTTTATCAATTCTCCTTTTTTTTTTTTTAAGACATTACTATATTTATGACAAGAATCCTTGACTAACTCCAACACCTAATTCCTTTTTTCTTAATTATCACTTTCTTATTTCTTAAAACTTGACAGTATGCCAATGGTGTGTCTACAAGAACAAGACAGACTTAAGGCGAGTGCATTCTTCTTACGGAACTTACCTTTCTCCTGCTGGGGCTGCCCTCTGCCACCCTACCAGATACAAAGAATGGTTTGAACCTGATTTAATCTTCAGGTCATTTCAATCTGATTTGGCTTATTGAGGATGACCCTTTAATTTAGATGGAAAACATGGGAGTCTGTTTCCTCCGCCTTTAACTTCCTACTCTATACAACCCACATGTGTCTTGGGAACCAGCCATGCTTGGCATAGCAGATGCACCCCTTAAAAATCTCAGTATGGTTTTCCATCGCTGCTTTACTTTTTGGTGGTTCTTACCTCTTTAGCACTACAATTCTGTCCTTTGGATTTAAAGTTTTAAATCTGGTTTAAAAAGCTCAAACCTTGGCAAATACTTTATAAAACTAAAGTTTCTTTCCCTGTAGCAAGTCCTATAAGCTAGTATTAGGCCTTTTATCTACCCCCCCCCCCCAAGACTCAATGTCCACAGCAAAAGCAGCCCCGCTTTGGGGCTTCAGGTATGTTCCCTGGCAAAGCTGTCAGCTTGGCTAGTACTGAAAGTCAATGTCCCAGAGAGAAATCATCACCAGGAATCTCGGCCTTGCTTTGCTTTTCATGATGCAGGGGACTTGACATATCATTTCTTTTACAATATTTTAGTAGGTGTATTTAAATAGGGACTCTTTCTAAACACAACCACAATACCATACTTATATATAAAGTATTTCTTCAATACCCTCAAATATGTGTTCTGCTCATAATTCCTTAACTCTTAATGTATACTCTCCTGTTACCCCACAGTATTTTTATATTTTTATTGTGGTCATGTCACCAACAACAGGACAGTACCCCCTTTTGCCAGTAGGTGGTACTAGTGTATTTCAAGGCTTCCCTAGCGTAATCAGAAGATGTGTCTTGCCTTGTTTTGTGGTGAGTAGGTTGGTTATAGGTCGGGAAACATGCTTCGCTGTTTTTTATGTGTTCCAAAGAGTGTTTGACTACTATACTGCATGAAATTTAACTTTAACCCAAAATGGAAATCACCAAGAGTTTCAAAAATACCTTTTCACAAATCAATAGAAGACAAAATAGGTCACAGTCCCAGTTCTTTAACAGCTAGAGCCTGTTAGGAAGCAATCCTCACACAACTTCACTGAAGTCTGGAGTTACTCTGATGACATAAGCTGGATCCTACACATGGATGGATCTGCAAGGGTGTGTCAGAAAGACCTCAGCACTCACTGAACTCAGACAAATGTACTCCTCAAGATGCAGCCCGTGCCTGGTCTATGAGCAGGCAGTCCAAGGTGTGACTTGTATGGTCACTCTCAAGGATACTCTACTTCAGCATGGGGATGGACGTGTCAATTAAAATGTCTTCTCCAAAAGTTTTTTAAAAACAATTTTTGAATCTGCTTAAACAAAGGAATACTTAAAGCTGGATTTGAGTTCTGCACTACAAACTGGATCTGTACTGTCTAAACAGGTCCTCCAGGAGGTTTGCCAAGTGTATGCAGTCAGACAGACCAAAGTGTGTCTGCAGTTTCTATCCTTGAGCTCTCACAAACACATGGCCTGTCAAGTTTAAAGTGCACTGTGCTGTAGTGTTAAGATAACAAATGGCTTTTTAACCTATGAGGTAACTGACTCTGGTGTTTTAAGTCACTGTTAGCAGCCTGTCGTAAGGAAAAACAAGTGCTTGTTTATAGTTTACCTATTTCCAAAAGGATATGAAGTGGATATTCTGGAGATGTTATTGCCAGAGAGAGTGTTATGGCAATTAGAATGGGGAGAGAATGGACAGACAGGTAAGAAAGCATGTAAGAGCAAAAGGCTGAACTGCTGGGACTCGGGAGCTAAAGGATAAAGTGGGAGAGAGAAGAACAGTTTCTTCAGTGAGACACAACAGTCTAGAAAAGAAGGGCGACTTTGAAATGACAGAAAAAGAAATAGACTAGGAAATGTGTATAGATGAAGAAAGTAGAGTATTCAGAGGAAAAAGTCAGGAATTAAGATGTTAAAATAGTCAAGCAACAGAAACAATACAAAATAGAATTTCCCCTTAGGGAAGGAAATAGCTATTTCTGTTGATAATCTCCAAATTTATGAAGTTACTACATTCGGTGGTAAGCTTCCTAACTGGAAATTGAAATAACTAAAGTTTTAATCAATTACTTTGAAGACAAAATGTTTTCCCTTCTACACATTATATACTGTGTAACTTTTCTTGCTATTTGGCAAACCAATTTCAGGGCTTAGAAATGCCATAGAAATCATCATCTAGGCTTATTTTCCACAAAAGAAAATGTGATATTTGAGATACACTGTAAAATAAAGCTAGTTTCTATAAACTATACAAACAAACAAAAACAACAACAACAAAAAAAACCTTTGCACTAAACTGAGTATAAAGAAAAGTTGGGGGGTTTTTATTTTTAAACTTGAAA